AAATGTACTATGTCCAACAAAAAGAAACCTTATGATGTTTGATGCTCATCAGTGAATCGCGACATTTTAATACTATCTTGGAATTTAGATTCAATTGCTTTCAGTGCGGCCTATCTACAAAAATCGTGATATTCGAAGGACGAATTGTACTTTATTGTCTAATGTTGACCTCTTTTTCGATAGCATATATCTCGCCGTGAAAGACGCTGTAAGTAGCAGGTAGCACTGTCTTATGTTATCTGCATATCTTTCGAGAAGATACCTGCTCCCCTACCGCCTTCCATCTTTGAGCCATCTGCATAGATAGTAACTGTAGAGTTACCGGTCATAGATCGAAGCTCTCAGCTATCTCTGGTTAGATAAAGAGTGAGAACCCATTAATGAAGTTATTTTTCTCAAAGAACCTTATTGATTTCGTTACCGAAGAGATAACAAATTTTTTTGATCGTTTTTGCGTATCTAATAGTTTTATCAGTTTCGATCCATCGCCATGAATGGAGACACAAGATTATAGAGATGCACTTGAATTCTGTGCCAGACTTCATATGATAAATGATTGTATAGAAAGAGGAATTAGGCTTATGATGGATTATAATTCGATTTTGACAAAATATGAAGAGGAAAAACAACATGTTCTGCAAGTAGTTGAACATTATCATAAAAATTATCCTTCACATAGTCAGATTTATGTCATAAAACATAATAAACACAATATATTAATTACTGAAAAAAGGGTTTTATTGAAATTATAATTTTTTATAAATAATTAACTAAATCGTAGCATATACCTATTACGTAATTGTACATGCCAGCTAAAAGGTATGAAATATAAAACAGAGCACAGTCGCTCAACTAATTATTGTGTTTTGCGCATAATTTTTAATCGATTTTGCTCATCAATATCTTATTAAAAAGATATTTTAATTATCTATCAAATGAGTATATATTAATAACTGTTAAAACACGTAACAAAGATAACACATGACCTTGAATTGAAAAATTTCTGTTTTCTGTACTGAAAACCCAACTTTGCTCGAGTGGCGCAACGTCATTTTTAATCCTATTGCTAATAGTTTTACTAATAGTTTTAATACTATTATTGCTAAACTATTGCTAATAGTTTTACTAATTTTGTAATAAATATAGGGAACTAATAATTACAGACATGTAAAACCATTAATAATTCGCAAATGAAAATGAAAACCTTTCTACAAAGGATTTCAATATCTATTACAATGGATTACTTACATATACATCCTTTAGATTTATTTCATATTTTTGTAATGGAATTAAGTTTTAATTTTTTATTGCATTGCATTGGTACAACTTTTCCACCTCCCACTTTTTATTGTATAGGAACTTCCACACGATTCGTTCTTAGTAACAATTATAATATTTTTTGCACTATGTGCTGTATATAATTGGTTTATATTTGGATTAAATGTATCACATTTTTAAATTTAATTTGATTTATCAAAATTTAATCCATTAAAATTGTGTACCACTTAATATATGCAGCCCCTAAAAAGTTCGACTCTTAAGTGCTTATCTCATAATTGAAATATTATGAAATCTATTAATGTTATAATATTAATTAATATTACAATCATTATTTCTACTCTTCATGTGAGAATAACTTGTTTATATGCATAATACAAAACACACATTATAGAATTCTATTTCCTGATTTTGGTCAAAATAGCATTTACGTAAGTACCGATACTCTGTTCCAAAATGCTCAAAGCCTCTTACGATCTATAAATTTGCTTCACTATTTCTATCTGAACTATAAATACATGTTAAAATTTTTTAGAATATAATATTATATAACTATTTATTGCACAGTTTTCATTAATATTTAACATAATATAATTACATTAAATTTAAAAACTTTAAACATTTCAGGCAAAAATTTCCTACCACTGATATAAAAACGAAAGAAATAGATAGGTGTCTTAAATCAAAACCTCTGCAAAATTTAGTTAAATACTTCATTTTATTGAGAAAGTTAGACTCAAGGAGATAACCTGCATCCAAAAATGATTACAATGGAAGTTTGAGTCGAAGTGAAAAATCTTCCAAGTTTATAGTCATAAAGTCTCGATGTGAGGTTTGTCGTTTGCTGATTTCGGATTAAAAGTGCAGTCGATGAAATACCCTCAAAAATCTCTTTGAATACTTTACGGAAGACAAATAAACAGATTTGTATCAATTGTAAAACATAAATCCACAACAACACTCTTGAGATTAAAATGAAATTAAAATAGTGGGTCCATAAAATTTACTATCCGCCGCACAAATCATTCATGGGTTTTAGAAATCAAAAGATTCTAACAAAAATGGACTATTCTATTTACTTTCACTTGATAATTTTAATGTTATTATTAAATAATAATACTACTAAAAATCACAATATAGTTTTGTTTTATTTTTTGGTTTCCAGTTAAAAGTAAATTTACATATTAAATACCATCCGACATACCACCATTTAGACACGTTAATGTGATTGAAACCATGTTCAGAAATATGTATCGAATAGAAAGAAGACTATATCGAATAAGAAAATAATACAAATCATTTATATTATAAATTTAATAATTCCTTCGGTGTAAGTGTAAATCTTTCCGAAATTACTTATAGTGTCTGCGTACCTTAAATTGAAGGTCATGGAAATAATTTTATAGATATACAAGGAATTCAGTTTAAAAAATTGTTAGTGCTAGAACTGCTGTAATAGTATAATAGTTATTTATTTAATATAATGAAAAAAGATTAAATTTCTATAAAAGCTATAATTAACTTTACATTGGATATTGTATATAAATTATTATAATAGCTTTCTGAACACAAAATAACATACAGTCTATTTTGTGTTCAGAAAGCTGTTAATGGCTGTTAATGGAGAAGAATGTAATTGTAATTAGCAGTAAGGTTTAAAGATCAATATAAGTGAATTTATTTAAATTTTTATTTTTATAAATTATTACTTAATTAAATCAAAAGTACATTATTCTCATTGAACAATTAGCAGCTATTTTATATTAATTGTAAAGTATTACTTCATTTATAAATAAAGCTCTACCTTTATTTTACATGAGAAAAAATTAAATATTCTGAAATTCGAATTTATAAAAAAACAATCGTTATAACATCAATACAATTTTAGTTCATAATTGCAAATGGATAGAAGACTACACAAGTTAAAAACTATACAAATGTTATTTATATTACTGTTATACATCGATAAATAATATCCATAACTAATACAAAGTTTCATTCACTATATAAACTACAAGGAATACTCTTGTTTTTGATAGAACTTATATGTGAAGATTTATTCTAGTTGCACGAGTGGAGCTGTTATAGATAACCCCGATCTCAACACATTCGCATATTCATCCATATAAAATAAATACTTGATGTATTAAAGTTATTTAGTATCAGTCAATTCAATATTAGATTTTTGTTAATTGGCATTGGATTAAACATACTTGATTATTTTGCCAAAATTATAATATTAGACAACTGTATAGATTATAAGCCCATAAGCTGCATAAAGTTCTTATTGTTTCATTCACTTCCGAAAAATTATAAACTATCTGCTGCAAATAAATCTTTTAAAATTGAAGTTTTGTATATATTAGCAATATACTACCATATTTGTTTGAATGGTATAACAAACAAGTGACACGGGGTACCCAATTTGGTTTGTCCATATCTTCCTTTTCTAATGCATTTGACTTTTTTTTGGTAATTGTAATATATTAGTAGAAAGGGAAAAAACCTTTTTATATCACGAAAAGATAGGATTGATAAACAAAACTACTAAAGATAGAACAGTTATACAAAATAATAGGCATTTAAATATAAACTATATATATATATACAATTATGATTAAATATTATTTTTATACATCTACTATATAAAGAAAAATGAATATTAACACTTGTCTATATATGTTAGCCTATAAACATGTGGATTTAAAAAAAACTATCATTTTTTATTGGAATTATACACAACATATCTTATATGTAAGGTTTTATTATTTTATCCATATAAACATATATATATATTCATTTCACATCAAGTACTGATTGCAATTCAGTTTTAACTGTTTGTTAAAAATAAGATAAATAAAAAAAGCATTGAAATTATTTATTAAATTTACATTGACCACGATGACTATACAGAATATATTTACATCTATATTTGATTTTATAGATAAAGGATGCGCATTCAAACACAATAACAATATTTCTTATTAAGAATGCAATTCACATTAACTTACGTAATCAAAAAGTTAATTTTATGTAAATAATAATAATAAATATTAATAAAATATTATAATTTTTAATCAGAAGAAATGTATAAAATGACTTACAAATACCATCTAGTCACACTTTCCGATGCGACTTATTACAGGCAGTATTAGTTAACCATTTCGAAAATCCACGCGAAAATTTAAAACTCGAAACAAAAATATATATGTATTCTTAAATATGTTAAAGGTGTGAAAATATATAAAAACATTTGTGATTTGGTGAAAAGTTTACGATTTTTAAACACCGAAGAATTCGTCACATACTAAAGCAATTGATTAATCATTTTCTGCCCTTTAATCTTTTTCAAATTAAATTATTTTTTTAATTTAAAAACAGTTGAGAAAGTTTTAAACAATTATTTTATTTTCCATTAAAGAATATTCTTACAGAAAAATTTGTGTAAAATCAATGGATTAGTGAATATCTGAAATATATATAAATACATCACTTTTTCAACATATCATCTAATTGGAAGTAAAAAATTACTTACCTGTGACAAAGTTTTACATTTTTAGTTCCAAAATAAACGAAATTAGAATCAAATTTTATATCACAAGTAATACAACACTTGATTAAAAGTATTTCAATTCGATATTTCTGAAATTGTGTAATAACTTTTTGTTTACTAATATTTAGAATATATATAGTGTAAATAAAACCACTTAATTACTAATCATCTCAAATAAATTAAATTAATAAATCAATAAATTGACTTTAAAACGAATTAATAAAATAAATTAGAAAAAACCTAATTAAACTATTAATAACAGAACTCATGGCACACAATAACTCCAATTTACCAACGGAACCTGATATAATTCTCTCCCCCATAGAAAAAAGCAACAGAAGTTCGCGAGAGAAACATGGTACTCTGCAAAGCAGTACTAATTTCCACACAACAAATAAAAAGTACGTATAAAAAAATTTTGAAACTAATGCACAGCATATACTTTAATTATTTTATATTTTTAAAAAATATTAGAAAAAATTATAAAATTTATATCAAAAAAATTAGCTCATGTATAGTTCACTTCATCTTCTTACAATGCAAAATAGAAACAATAGTTCAACTATACCTATATTACGTCCCTACGTCTTAAACCAGCACATATCTCATCTAACTTATGCCCAATGAAGAGTTTCATTTTAATCACTCCATTCTTATTGAAATATAATATTAAAATATCACCTTCAATTTAATTACATTAGTTTTAAGTTATTAAGTTGTAATTCCTAACTTAAAAATTTAATTGCAAATCGACTATGAGTCCACGTCTCTACTGATACAACATCTGTTAAGTAATTTTATTATTATATTAGCATAAGCATTGAAACGAATAATAGTTCAATATAGTTTCATTAACAATTTTAGGTTCTAACATATATAACAAAATAACAAATCTTATAAGCTTTTTCTATGCTATCTTATATTTATAGCATACATATTTTCAAATAAATGCAACTATTTAAAATGTGTTAATGTGTAAATAAATTATAGTAAATTAAACTTGAAATAACAAAATTTTTAATTTAATTGAAAAGTGAATAATTATATAATTACTGAAACAATAATTAAATTAATTTCCTATCATTATTTTAGCACCGTTGAAAGAAATACAACTAAGGTTTCCCATGAGAAACAATACTCATATTTCAAATTAGTAAGTATTATTAATATCTATGTTTTATATAAGAATGTAATATAAGAATATAAATTATTCCATTTCTAAGTAAAAAGTAATAATAATTAAATAGTAATCTATAAACTGTAGTAGCATAAGTTATTAAGAACATTATGTATTCTTAGAATAAAACATGCGGGTTCATGCATTTTGTATATAAAAATACAGGATCGGAGAATTTCAAAATAATATTATTTAATGTTAAAAATTGACGACTACTAATATTTGTATAATCAAAATGCCATGAAATTTGGGATATATCGTCTATATTTTCTCTGACAGCAAATCAACACTCCTAGCACTACGCTCATTTCGAGTGACCCCAAAATTATTTTTAATTTAAAAAGATTTGCTTTCATATAGCATTTTTAAGACAACAACAGTAATTGTCGACTGAAGATTTCCAATAAAATATACCTATTAGTATTAACACCATAACGGCCAATATGCAATTCCAATATTTATAAATAATTTCAATTTTTAGACGACTGGGGATATGGTAACATAAATCAATACTACAATTTATATTACCTACATATGTTTCATCTCTCTAAAAAATAACTACCTAATTGCATTTTTGTTTAACAATTTTATTATTTTCTCATAAGTTTACATCTTTGATCCCCCACATGTATTTTAAATCAGAACATACTAGCAGTTTTGCCACTATCACAACCTTTCTCATGTTGTACTTAGCATATATTGATTATCAGTGATGAATTACGTTTCAGTGATGTCAGACTAACCCATGTAATTTAAGAAAATCTCAAATTCTTCAGATTTCCATCCAAACTTTATATGACTTAAATATAAATATACGGGCCTTAAAGGATTTGTAAAGTGGTCCTGTTATAAGATATTTGAAAAGGTAAAAAATTTAAATTCACAGATGTCTTGATCTTAAGTATTTTGTAGTATATTATAATACTTTTACACAAGTAGGTTATATTTTCTTAGTTCGCAAAAAAAAAAAAATAGATTTTCTTGATTGACTTTGAAAGATATTCATATTTAAATGTACAATTTCTATATAAATTTGAATTATTAATTAGATTAGTTAAATATTTATTTTCTATATTAATCCAAGTTAATAATATTACCTTTCATATATTTATTTAGTTTAAGTATTCAACGACTTTTGAACGTTTCTTGCTAGTTGCAGCCACAATATGCGCTTCAATCGCATCAGTATGTGTATCATACTGTTTAGTAATATATGGAGAATTCACATCATTATTAATAGATCGTTCAGTCGGAATTGGTTCTTCCTCTCCTACCATTTTTCTGCAAGCTTTTGGAGGCGGTATTAAATTGTGCGACACCATTATAATGCTATTATAACAAAATGTTTAAAAAAAATATGTATTTAATTTTTTATCATCTCTAGAACAAATGCCACCAGAGAAGAAAATTTACAAGCCATTCGAGATGATGCTTTAGCATTTGGAATAGGTAGCTTGGCTGGAGCCCTATTACAATGGTTGCTTCTAGCTGTTGCAGTTGATCTCTTCAATCATGTAGCTTTGAAACAAGTAAATATTTTTAGTTTTTGATATAACATAATATACCTGTACGTTTATATACAATAGTAGCAAAACCAATTTTTTTCTTATTTAGATCACGAAAATACGTAAACTCTTTTTGGAAGCAATACTCCGTCAAGATATGTCTTGGTATGACACAAGCTCGGGAAACAATTTTGCAAGTAAATTAACAGAGTAAGTTTAAAATAAATTATGGGAAACTTTTTAATTTTAAGTAAACCCAAATGTTTTGTATAGAGATCTGGATAAGATGAGAGAAGGCATGGGAGAGAAGATTGTTATTTTTATTTTTTTAATTATGAATTTTTTTAGTGGAATTATTACTTCTTTCTTCTATGGCTGGGAGATGACTTTGGTAGTTTTAAGTTGCAGTCCTCTTCTTATAATCTCCACAGTTATGGTCACCATAATTCAAAGTTCTCTAACTAAAAAGGAAATAAAATCATATTCCGCAGCTGGAAACGTAGCTGAGGAAGTATTTTCCAGTGTTCGTACTGTACTCGCTTTTAGTGGTGAACAAAAAGAAACTCAACGGTTTAGTAAATTACTTATTCCTGCTGAGATCATCGGACGTAAAAAGGGTCTCTATTCTGGTATGAGTGCAGGAATAATGTGGCTTAACATTCATTGCTGTTACGCTCTTTCTATGTGGTATGGGGTGAAACTTATACTTGCTGAACGTGATGAAGAGTTTAGAAACTACACTCCTGGTGTTTTGATAATTATTCTTTTTAACATATTAGTAGGTTCTCGATATTTTGGCTTCGCATTGCCACATTTAGAGACATTCAGTACAGCGAAAGGAGCTGCACAAAATATTTTTTCAACTATACAACGTAAATCAGCTATAGATTTTTTAGACGAAAGTGGTTTAAAACCTTTCAATGTCGTTGGAAATATTTCTTTTAATCAAATTCGTTTCCATTATCCCGCACGTCAAGATGTGGAGGTTCTGCAAAGCTTTTCATTAGACATTAAAGCTGGTCAAACTGTTGCATTGGTTGGAGCTTCGGGCTGTGGTAAATCAACCATATTACAATTAATACAACGTTTTTATGATCCTCTAAGTGGAACAGTTCAATTAGATGGTATAAATATAAAAGATTTAAATGTGAGTTGGTTACGCTCCCAAATTGGTGTGGTTGGTCAAGAACCTGTTCTATTTGCAACAACCATAGAGGAGAATATTCGTTATGGTACTGTATCCGCAAGCGTAGAAGATATACAGAAAGCTGCACGTATGGCAAATTGTCATGATTTTATAAGTAAATTACCAAATGGTTATGACACATTGGTAGGAGAGAGAGGTGCTCAAATGTCCGGTGGACAGAAACAACGTATTGCTATTGCACGTGCTCTTGTACGTAATCCAAAAATTTTACTTCTAGATGAAGCCACTTCTGCATTAGACTCCACATCTGAAGAACGAGTCCAGTATGCTTTAAAAGCTGCTAGTAAAGATCGAACCACATTAATAGTATCACATCGATTATCTACAATAACTAATGCCGATCTAATTGTGTTTGTTAAAGATGGTGCAGTTGTTGAACAGGGAACGCATGAAGAACTAATGGAAAAGAAAGGATATTACTTTCAACTTGTAAATATAACTAAACGACAAGAAGAACTGGAAACAGATTCAAATAATCTTAATATGACTCATTCAAATTTTGGAAAACATTTAGTTGACGGAGAAGACTCTGAAAATGAGGATTGTTTGAATAAAGAATTACCAGAAAATGTCACATTGGCAATAAAAAGTAAGTTTATTAAACTTTGTAATGAAATTGTTTATGATCTTTTTTTTTTAAAGTAAATACATTCTGGAAATCAATAATTATTTGTTTAAATGATATGTGTTAAACTTGCTAAGAGAGGATATTCTGCTATGTTTATAGAAAATCGGGATAAACCAATGATTGAATTTATTTGTGATTACTACGTGTGTATATATGTTTGAGTGACCTGATTTCCTAATGACCTATTTCATCAAATGTCAGTGATCCAATAAATCTTTAAGATTACATTCTAAGCACTAGTATAGCAATTCCGTTTAATCTATTTTTTAAATTTTGATCAAATTGTAAATATGAGTATTAACAGATTATATTATGTTATTAACATGCCGTTAAAAAAACTATAAAACTGTACAGAATAGTATTATCTGTGTCAAACTATGTCATATCTGTACGAACGCGAGTAAACTACCCTGGGGTATCCAGGATGCAATTGTTTCATAGAGTGGTAGTTCTTTGGTAGAGTGGTTGCTAGTTTATAAAAAAGTCTGTTATGCCGATGCTATTTACAGCTTTAGAAAAATCCGCTACAGTACAGTCTTTCTTGTATGCTCTTAGAAGTTTGGATTACTACTCTCTAAACCAGTTGAATTATGGACTGTTGCTTTTTAAAACCTCACTGATAGTTTGAAATTGATTAGATTGTATTGTTAAAGAATGGATTTCAAACGAATAGGTGATTTTCCTTGTCTTTTACATGTTCTTTTTTGATTCAATACATTCTTCAGCTGATGGACCGACTTGTTCACCATTACTTCCTCTTCAATTTTTTAGTTCTAATATTTTGTTTTGTGTGAATAAACAATTTGAAATTTATATTCGCTTCAAATTTATGTGTATATTAGCTGTATATGTAGTTATTTATATATATTACTACACTGTAATAGTATATATTCTCAATATTGACAATTAGAAATTAATTTCCTATTGCTGCTAAAATTCATTTAAAATTCCGCCCCTGGTACACATTTATTTTTTTAATTTTTAATAGTAATTCTTTTTATAAAACATATGCATTTATTAGTGATCAGAAAAACTTTTTATGTATTTCAATATTTTCTTTTAGAGGAGTCAAAATTCAAACCGAAATCGGTTGAAAAGTGCAAAGTGTCCTTTAAACAAATACTAAAACTGAATACACCGGAATGGCGTTTTCTACTAACCGGCAGTGTAGCTGCAATTGTGCATGGAGCTACGTTTCCATGTTGGGCTTTATTTTTCGGTGAATTTTTCGGAGTGAGTTTTCAGACTTCTTGAAAGATCTATTTTAGAAACCATTTGTGTATACAGATTATGTCCAAAGATTCGGATTCTGTACAATACCACATTATTCAACTATCATATAAATTCATTACGCTTGGCATAATTGCGGGTCTAGGAATATTAATACAAAATTACATGCTCAATATAGCAGGAGTAAAGATGACATCTCGTCTTCGTAAAACCGCTTTCAAAGCAATTATTAGTCAAGAAACTGCATACTTCGATGACAAAAAGAATTCTGTGGGCGCATTGTGTGCTCGATTAGCAAGTGATTGCTCAACCATACAAGGTGTAGGTATATTGCAATAAATTCTCAATAAATATGAATTGATGTCACTGATGTTTCTTAGGCTACTGGAGCAAGAATTGGAATGATTGTTCAGGCACTATCAACACTTGCTTTTAGTATTATAGCATCCTTCCTTCATTCATGGAACCTAACTTTAGTTACAATCTTCACCGTACCTTTTGTATGTTTATCAGTATTTTTTGAGTCACGTTTCATGGAATCTTATGTGCTTGCGGAAAAACTTGCCATCGAGAATGCTTCACAAACAGCTGTGGAAGCTATTTCAAATATACGTACTGTAGCAAGTTTGGGATTAGAGACAAATATTCTGAATTGTTACAATGAAGAAATTGATAATGCTGGTGTCATTTGTCGCAAAAAGGTTAGATTTCGAGGAACTGTATTTGGCATGGGACAAGCAACACCATATTTAGCATTTGGAGTATCATTATATTATGGAGGTTTGTTAGTGGCTAATGAGGGTTTACAATACGAAAATATTATAAAGTATGTCAATTGAGCAATTTTTTAAAAATTTATATCTTACCCAACTTAAACCTTAGAGTAACAGAAGCTTTAGTATTCGGTTCATGGATGTTGGGATATGCTTTGGCATATGCACCAAATGTAAGTGCAGCTTTACTATCTGCAAAAATACTATTAAAACTATTCAATAGAGTGCCGTCAATAGTAAAAAACCGAACTTTAAACGCAACTGAGGTAAGATATATTGATAAACATTAGTATAAAAGATTTTACTGTAATATATATAACTTACAGAAAACAGATGGTGATATTACATACAAAGACATTAACTTTCAATATCCAACAAGAAAAGATGTACAAATATTACAAAATCTCAACTTGGATATTAAACGTGGTACCACAGTAGCATTAGTAGGACCTTCTGGATCTGGTAAATCGACATGCGTACAACTTTTACTTCGTTATTATGATCCAAATAGTGGTTCAATCAATATAAATGGTATACCAACTACAGACTTTTCAATGGATACTTTGCGTTCAAGTTTAGGTCTAGTATCACAAGAACCTGTATTATTCGATCGAACAATTGCAGAAAATATTGCTTATGGAAATAACTTCCGTGATGATATTCCTATGGCTGAGATAATGGAAGCTGCGAGGAAAGCGAATATACATAATTTCATTGTTTCCTTACCTCAAGGTTATAGCACTTCCTTGGGCAGTAAAGGCACACAATTATCTGGTGGTCAAAAACAACGAATTGCCATTGCAAGAGCTTTATTAAGAAATCCAAATATACTTATTTTGGATGAAGCCACTTCTGCTTTAGATTTGGAAAGTGAAAGAATTGTTCAGGAAGCTTTGGATGCTGCACGCAGTGGTAGGACTTGTATAACAATAGCACATCGTCTGACAACAATACGAGATGCAAACATGATATATGTTTTAAAGGGAGGACTCGTTGTAGAAAAAGGAACACATGATGAACTTATGCTGCTCAATGGTGTCTATGCCAAACTTTATATAATGCAACAGATCTCATAGTGTGTATATTTGTAATGCTATGTGTAATAAATATAAATTTAAATTTTTTAAGCGTTTTTCATCAGGTTTTAATTTTCAAATTGAATTAGCATTAAAGTTTCAAACGATTATTTGAGATAAAGTAGACTGATTTTTTTAAAGATTTATAAAATTATTATAATCAATAATGATTAGAATAAGTAACCACAATATTGTGTTTATAAATAAATATTATTTTTGTAGAATTTCTAATACGAAAATACTATCAAGTAAATATAATCTTTCTTCTATATTCTCTGACTATCTTTCTTGATCGTTTTGATTCATTATTTGCTTGAGGGACTAGTAAATTGCTTGAGGCACTAGTAAATAACCGAATATACAAAGACAATTACACAAGAGGAAAGCTGTCTGCAAAAATATTATTTTATTTCTTTGTACGAATTTTGAGTTGTCATTTATGTAAACTTCCGTAAATCTGTTATTTTTTCTAACATACATATAATTATGTATATATATATAGTAAAATATTATATATGCGATATTCTTTTACATTCTTACGAATTTTGGAAATAAACCACCTCCGATGTTTGACTGAAATGAGCTCCCTTTTATGAAGCAATTTTTTAGCAACAGTAATCACACGCTTTGTAGCTTTTGGGAAATAAGTCATGACCCTTTTGAAAGACTAACTATGCATTATTATATACTCAATATTTTTATTTTCATAGTTCCTGTGGGTTTTTAAAATTGATGCGGGTCATGGTCGTCATTCCTATTGTTGGAATCTTTGGGAGGAAACTTTGTTGATGCAAAACTAATTTTTTTAATAAAAATTCTTCTGAGAACAATAGCGTTCTAAAAAGTTTTATTTTTATATAGAATTTAATGATAAATTTGATTCAGAAAATGTATACTATTTTCATATCATTTTTTATGTAAAATTGTTTTAATGATAAACTAATTTTTTTTAAATACTTCTAAAAACAATACCACACTGGAAATATTCATTTCAAAAATAAAAAATTTGTATTAAAAAAGTTTTTCTTGTGTTCCTCTTTTTATTGTACTGAAAAATCGTGTACATGGTTTGTGAAGCCCTGAAATTGTTGGGTATTATGCAGAATTTCATTACAAATCGAATTCTATAATACGAATTTGCACATCAAGTTTTAAGGGAGAAAATAATTTTTCAAAAATTTCAGAAAAGTAATGCCATTCCGAAAGCTTTTATTACTCAGTAAAATTTAATTCTGAATCTTAATAATATATAAAAAATTAAAATACTCGGAATACATTTAAAAAAAATTTTTTTTTTTAAATTGTATTGTTAATATTAGTACTTAAATATAAATAATTTTAATTGTTTAAACTATTTCAATCAATTATCTTTAAAACGAAACAAATTTCAAGTTTCTATCATATATGATGTCTGAGATATGGCCGTTTAGAAATAGCCCTTTAATTGTCAAAACCCATATCTCCTAGGAAAATAATTTCAAAATTTTTTTCCGAGATACTTCTTATTTGATGGAAGGAGCTTATAAAAAAATTTTAGCCAATTCTGAAATGATGAAGTCAAGAAGCTGACCGATTTGTAAAAGAATGACCAATATACAGTAACACAAAAAGTCATTTACATAACTAACGTAAACAAAACACTAAAAACCTCTCACTAATATGAATCATTCTACCAATATTAATTCATGTCAACTACTGAGCAAACTCTTCACTCCAGACATGCATTAGCTAATGCTTAACAAATAAAAATAAGCAACATTCAAAGTGCTAGCTAACAGAAACAGAAATCTGGAATAGAGTAAACGAACAATTGTACAAATACAACAACAAAAATAGCAAAAAAATTAGTGAATAAAAGTTAGAAATCTCTATGCAAATATTTCCATTGTTAAACTTTAATAAAGATTATTATATTACATATAATTTTATATTACTATATGTTTTTTTTAGGTTACATTTGTGTTTTCATGCAGGAATTAGTAGCATTAATATTTTACTAACGTTGCGTACCAAACCGTACCTTGGTAAATGTGTTCCTACTTTCTTGCGTATCAGAACTTCTATTATGGAATACAATATTTTATAAATATAAAGTAAAACTATAAATATTATTATATAATATATTTAAAATGTTAATCTGTTTTCATCAATATTTCACATAATATAACTACATATACACATATCTTTTAATACTGATTTTATTTTGCTGTTAGAGCAGTATTTTTTTAAGAAAATTGGTTCAATGTCTATAAAAACTATAACTAATTCTTCCAAAAGTTTTACTGGATATATAATGATGATTATATAGTGTTGCATTCTTTCTCTATTAAAAGAGTTTGCAGCATGACATGAGAGTAAGGTATTAATTTTTATATTATCCCTTTCTTATAATTTTTTAATAATATAAATATTGATAACACTCCCAATTTTAAAACTGATAACACTAGTATATGAAGAATATAACTTTAATCAGTTGTGAAGAATAGTAAAACCATTCACATCAATGTCCTGAAATTTTTTGCCAAGTAATAATTTCTTATTTTTTATAATTTATTACTTAATTCAACTATTAGCAACTATTTTATATTAATATTTACAATTAAAAAATTACATTATGAAAATTATACCTTTTCTTATAAGAAATGTCCTAGTTTTATTTTACATGGGAAAAATGAAACATTTTGAAATTCACATTAATAAAAAAACAATTGCTAAAATATCATTACCAGAATCACTTCGACAAATTTTCATACATTAAGGAGCTGTATAAAGCTCCCCCTTTCGTATTCACTTCTTTTAAGAATTTCAGTATAATAAATTAATAAATAATAAAGTTTAAGTAATAACATATAAAGTTGTTTTTGAGGCTATCCCAGTCAGTTTTTATATTTTTCAGATATATTCAAATTTTTAATTCACACTTCAAATACATTACTGTAAGTAAAGTGTGTAATATAGAATTGTCTCCATTGCAAACATTTTCATTACATTACAAAGACAGATTCTTATCCTCTTCTCTTCTCTTCTGTTTTCTGAACTTTTGTATAAATAAGCAATATACTTTTTGTGTGAAGGATATAAAGAACAAATGACACGTCGGACCTAATTTGGTTCGTTCTTAGTCAAGCGCATTTTTGAGCCATAGTAGTCATGAGGCATATATTTATTTCCGAAGAAAACGAGGAAAGTTATTCGTATATTGGAGACATAGGATCGACGAGCCAAACCATTAAAGATAAAACGCGTACACAAAATAATAAGCATTTAAATATAAAATATATACATATAATTAAAGTTCAATATTATTTTCAAATATATATATATAAAAAAAAATATATATATAAATAATATATATATATATATATATATATATATATAAGCACTTTCCATTTGACTCATAAAAAATTTATGAAACAATACCTTAACTTATAATTGAACTGTGTTAACTATGTTATTTGTAAGGTTATCTTAGTATTATCCTTTAACTGATTCAAATACACATTTTTTTCAAATGAAGTACTAAATAATAATGTTATATGAAAATAAAGTTAATCAAAAACACATTGAAATTATTAATTAAGTCTACAGTGTTAACAATGACTACACAATATGCAATTACATTGCGATTTGATTTTATATGCAAAATGAAGCCACTTCGCACACTAACACTTTTCTCATAAGCAATTAATAATAATTAACAAATTATTACACTTTTTCATCAGAAGAAATGTATAAAAAGATTCACAAATAAAGGCAGTACTAGTTAACCATTTCAGAAATTCACGCGAAAACTCAAAACTCGGAAAAAAAATTTTAATTCATAAATATATTAAAAGTTTCAAAATAAGAAATTATGTTAGTGATTTGATGAAAAGTTAAAGAGTTAAAAATTGTTACGATTTTTTCAAACTAAATGATTTCTTCAGTTAAAAAATAGATAAAAACTTTGACACAATTATTTTATTATATACATAATTTTTAATTATAATTTTACTTAAAAACTTGTATAAAATGAGTGCATTAGAGTTATCAACATCTGAAATATATATAAAGGGTTATCCATTTTATGGTTCCAAAGTAAACGAAAAAAAATACTTTTAAAATTTTGGATTTTGATCAATCCATTTCCATTTTAATATATTGTTTGGCTCTTGTTATTAAGTGTGACATCATTCAAATGATCTCCATGGAACATTTTAAAGTATGGATACATTCCATTTCATATCATCAAAGACTAAATTACATACCACCGATGTTTTTCGTGACACAAAATCAAAACAGGATAGGCTACGTTGATTGAGGCACCGATCTGTTACTACCACATGTAAAGGATATCAGATTCTTCGATTTCATGCAAATAAATTATAATCATTTTCTTAAGCGATTAGAATGTACGGTTTTCATTATTTCTCCATTGTTCTCCATCAAATCAATACAGGTCTACCACAGTTTCAGTACAAATGCCACACTAATCAACAGCAACTTTATGTGTATAGAATATTGTTCCGACAGTTTTTGATTTTTACTGTCCTAGTCACAACAATTTAATTGGATTATACATCCCCCAGGCAAAGATGAACCTCATCAATGATAAAAATTTAATATGATAAATCGTTTTTATTTTTAAAGTAAAGTGATCCATATTGTCCATTAATAAAATTTAAGCTAAACGCATTAAGTCTTGGATAATAATTCTGTTCTATATATATTACTCAAACAGTATTGACACATCGGAACTTTGAAATGCATAACACTTTATTAAATCAAGAATATTTATGAATATAGACAACAACTTTTTGATAACCTTAATTTAAAAAAAACAAGACAAACAACCACAATAACAATAATATAAATCCAGCGTAGCTGTCATCTTAAAGAGATAAAATCAACAAATGTTGACTTTTAAATAAATGAATGAAATTAATCAGAAAAAACTTACTTAAACAATTAATAACATAAATTATGGCACACACCGAATCCAATCTACGAACGGAATCTAATAGAACTGTCTCCCTCACAGAAGAACAATGCAGAACTTCCCAAGAAAAGTCTAGTACATTACTGGACAGTAATAATTTCCATACAACAAATGAAAAGTGCGTATAAAAAAATTTTACAAAAAATGTATTATATATATATTAAAATTATTTTATATTTCTAATATTATTCTAATTATTTTAAATTAAATTATTATTATAAAATTTAAATCGAAAATATTATGAATAGTATATATAACTATAAATGCTATAGCTTATAATAGTTCAAGCGTGTACTACGGCTTGAATCAGCAGATGTCTCATCTAACTCGTGCCCAATGCTACGTTTCATTTTAATCATTTATTTATCATTTTATCATATTATATTTATCATTTTATTTAAATATATTATTAAAATATATACTTATATATGAGTACATAACAAACAATACATGTATATATACATTAATATATACAAAGACGGATATTTTTTTAAGTGCAGTTGCAGTGAAAATCGCTGTTTAAATTAAGTTCAGTCTTCATTTTATAACTAATATATTATCATGTGAAACAATTTAGAAGATGCATACGAACTGAAAAGTTTTTATTGACGATTTTTGTTTCATTGCATTTAAAAGCATCTGATATTCTATGTTCGGATACTAAGCCCCCTACTAAAGTCCTAAAATCAATTGTTATCATATTTAAATAAAGTTGAGATACAAGCGACAACGGTATCATATCTTTACTATAATAACATCTGCTGAGAATTTTTATTATTTTATTAGCATAAGCTAATCAATAAAGTTTAATTATTAATTTTTTGTTCTAACATAATAGAATGAAAGAAGAATGAAAGATACTATTCTATCTCATATACATAGTATGTACATTTTAAAATAAATGCCATACACATACGCTCAAAATATTTTAATATCAAGTAAAATTATGAAAAACTTTAAATGATAAAAATAGTATTGAAATACAATAGAAATATATTATAATGACGAATTATCAGAACAATAATTAAATTTATTTCTTATTATTTTAGCACCATTGAAAAAAATACAGCTAAGGTCTCACATGAAAATCAATTTTCATATTTACAATTAGTAAGTATATTTAAAATTTTTTCTACAAGAATGCAATATTAGAATATAAATTATTCTACTTTTAAGTAAAAAGTAATAATAATTATGGACATAATTATGGGACATTATATATTCTTGCAATAAGACATAAATATTGTACATTAAGATTCAGGATGGGAAAACTTCAAAATTTTATTATTTATGGAGTGTGATTTGGTGGAATATATTATCTTCTTAACCATTGACAAGCATTTGGAATAATCAACTCTAACACTAACACACAGATTATTGAACGTTTTTAGCAAACGGAAGTTTTTCATATATCATAAAAGTTCCTTAGAGTGCATTTCTGTAATTCGGCATTGTCCTGCTGTTAATATAGTGATGAAATAGTAAGGCGATTGATTGACCATATAAAAACAAATTACAGTTTAGCTTTACAAACTGTTTGAAATAATAAACTCAACTTAATCTAAATATATTTGCAGTTTGAAAAATTTCAAGTTCAATATACGTACATAACATTTCTGATTTTTCTATATTATAGAGGGATTATTTTAAAAATCTTCTACTAACGGAAATATTATGTCCAGTTAAATAATTCTATATGCAACAACATTTTTGAGAAATTTTTGTCTACATAAGTATGAAATCATTCCTCTTTTGAAATCAGTAATCAATTATTTAATATTTCAAAAGAGATTCATATTATATGTGGACATATTATATATTTGTCGCCGGAAAATTCATTTCTTCTTCTTAGACTGCCTACTCACTTTGAGTGTCTGCGGTCGCATTTATTGACAATAAGTATTTTATTTTTTTTGTTTTTGTACATAATTTCAATTTAAACTTTTAATACTACTATTTTTCTTTAATAGTACTTATAATTAATCATAACAGGTAGCATTTAACTTTTAGCATTTAACTAGATCATTTTAAATTAAACTAAAGTACAATCTATACAGGATTCAAAAAGCGTTTCACGATATGTTGTTCACTATCCCTGTGTAAAGTTCTCTTGACCGCGCAGAGTGTATCAGTTCGCCAATAGTCCGAAGTCCTGTCCAGGTGCGGATATTCCTTAACCATGAGAGTTGTTTCCACCCAACGCCTCTGCGTTTGGGTGCACGTATTATGTGTCCCAAGTATGCTACTTTCCTTTTTTTCATGGTTTTAAACAGTTCTCTTTCTTGCTGCATTCTTCTGAGCAGTTCTTCTTCTTCTGAGTAACTCTATCAGTCTAAGGTATTTTCAATAGACGACGATAACAACACATTTCGAAAGCCTCTAATTTATTATTGCGGTTGTTTTAAGAGTCCAAAAATTCATTTAAAGACATGTAATTTTCTAAATGTAATGTTCTTAACATGTCATATATTTTAGACCACAATCCAAACATCACATAACTTATATATTAAAACATTTTTAAAAGATTTGTAAAATGAACTTCAAATAAGCTAGTTTTAAGACTAATAAAATAAATAAATTCATAAATAATTCAAACGTTGAAAACAAAAATTAATTTTTATTTATTTATTTAGTTCAAGTATTCAACGAGTTTGGAACGTTTCTTAGTAGCTGCAGCCATAGCATTAGCTTCACTCGCATCCATTTGTGTTACATATTGTTTAGTAATATATGGAGAATTCACATCATTATTAATAGATCGTTCAGTCGGAATTGGTTCTTCCTCTCCTACCATTTTTCTGCAAGCTTTTGGAGGCGGTACTAAACTGTGAGACACCATTATAATGCTATTATAACAAAATGTTTAAAAAAAATATGTATTTAATTTTTTATCATCTCTAGAACAAATGCCACCAGAGAACAAAATCTACAAGCTATTAGAGATGATGCTTTAGCATTTGGAATAGGTAGCTTGATTGGAGCGTTATTAGAATGGTTGCTTCTAGCTGTTGCACTTGATCTCTTCAATCATGTAGCTTTAAAACAAGTAAATATTTTTAGTTTTTGATATGATACATACTTAGAATAGTAACGTAGAATAGTAACAAAACTAATTTTTTCCTGATATAGATCACGAAAATACGTAAACTCTTTTTGGAATCAATGCTCCGTCAAGATATGTCTTGGTATGACACAAGCTCGGGAAACAATTTTGCAAGTAAATTAACAGAGTAAGTTTAAGTTGTATAAAATTAAACGTTTTAATTTAAACTAAAACCAAATATTTCCACGCACAGAGATCTGGATAAAATGAAAGAAGGCATGGGAGAGAAGATTGGTGTTTTTATTTTTTTAATAATGACTTTTATAACTGGAATTATCACTTCCTTCTTCTATGGCTGGGAAATGACAATTGTCGTTTTAAGTTGCAGTCCTCTTCTTATAATCTCCACAGTTATGGTCACTATAATTCAAAGTTCTCTAACTAAAAAGGAAATAAAATCATATTCTTCTGCTGGAAACGTAGCTGAAGAAGTATTTTCCAGTGTTCGTACTGTAGTCGCCTTTAGTGGCGAACAAAAAGAAACTGAACGGTTTACTAAATTACTTATTCCTGCTGAGATCATAGGACGTAAGAAGGGTCTTTATTCTGGTATGAGTTCAGCAATAATGTGGCTTAACTTTTATTGCTTTTACGCTCTTACTTTCTGGTATGGTGTGAAACTTATACTTGCTGATCGTGACGAAGCATTTAAAAACTATACTCCTGCTGTTTTGGTAATTATTGCTTTAACCTTAATAGAAACTTCTCGATATTTTGGTTATGCATTGCCACATTTAGAGACTTTCAATGCAGCCAAAGAATCTGCACAAAATATTTTCTCAACTATAAAAAGCAAATCATCCATAGATTCTCTGAATGAGAACGGAGCAACGCCTTCAAATATTGTTGGAAATATTTCTTTGGACAACATTTGTTTTCGTTACCCCGCACGTCAAGATGTGGAAATTCTAAACAGTTTCTCATTAGACATTAAAGCTGGTCAAACTGTTGCATTGGTTGGAACTTCAGGATGTGGTAAATCAACCATATTACAATTAATACAACGTTTTTATGATCCTCTAAGTGGAACAGTTCAATTAGATGGTATAAATATAAAAGATTTAAATGTGGGTTGGTTACGTTCCCAAATTGGTGTGGTTGGTCAAGAACCTGTTTTATTTGCAACAACAATTGAGGAGAATATTCGTTATGGAAATCTATCAGCAAGTGTAGAAGATATACAGAAAGTTGCTCGTATGGCAAATTGTCATGATTTTATAAGTAAATTACCAAATGGTTATGACACATTGGTAGGAGAGAGCGGTTCTCAGTTGTCTGGTGGACAAAAACAACGTATTGCTATTGCACGTGCTCTTGTACGTAATCCAAAAATTTTACTTTTGGATGAAGCCACTTCTGCACTGGATTCCACATCTGAAAAACAAGTGCAGGATGCTTTAGAAGCTGCTAGTAAAAATCGAACTACATTAATAGTATCACATCGTTTATCGACAATTACTAAGGCCGATCTTATTGTATTCATTAAGAGTGGTGTTATCGTCGAACAGGGAACACATGAGAATCTGATGGAGAAAAAAGGATATTATTTTCAACTTGTAAATACAACTAAACGAAAAGAGGAATTAGAATCCGGATCAACTATAACGCCCTCACATTTATCAAAATCATCAATCATCCAAAAAGATCATAAAACTGATTATAGTTTCAATGATGAATCTGGACAAAATATCATGTTGAAAGAAAAAGGTAAGTTCGTGCTGTTCATGTATATTTGCATATATAAGCACATACATACCAACAGACAATATTAAAAATTGTCCAAATTATTACAACTTATGAGTGGGTCAAAATATTTTTAAAGTATTTTAATGTGCCTTTTAGAGAAGTCAAAATTGAAAACGAAACCGGTTGAAAAGAACGAAGTCTCCTTCAAACAAATAATGAAACTAAATGCGCCTGAGTGGCCCTTTTTACTAGCCGGTTGTATATCAGCAGTTGTGCATGGAGCTTCTTTTCCATGTTGGGGTCTACTTTTCGGAGAATTTTTTGGAGTGAGTTTCTAATATTACTGAAAGATTAATTTAAAAACACTATTTGTATACACAGATTATATCCAAAGAGGATTCAGATATTCTACAATCGCAAACTCTTCAACTTTCTTATAAACTCATTGTGCTTGGCATAATTGCGGGTCTAGGAATATTAATACAAAATTACATGTTCAATATCGCGGGAGTAAAGATGACATCTCGTCTTCGCAAAACCGCTTTCAAAACAATTATTAGTCAAGAAACTGCATACTTCGATGATCAAAATAATTCTGTGGGTGCATTGTGTGCTCGATTAGCAAGTGATTGTTCAAATATTCAAGGTGTAGGTATATTACTATTAATTCCCAATAAATATTAATTGATGTCACTAATGTTTCTTAGGCTACTGGAGCAAGAATTGGAATTATCGTTCAAGCACTATCAACTCTCAGTATCAGTGTTATTGTATCTTTATTTTACTCATGGAACTTAACTTTAGTCACAATCTTTACCATACCTGTTGTTTGCTTGTCAATTTTTTTTGAGTCACGTTTCATGGAATCATATGCTCTTGCTGAAAAACTTGCCATCGAAAATGCTTCACAAGTAGCAGTTGAAGCGATTTCAAATATACGTACTGTCGCCAGTTTGGGATTGGAAAGAAATGTAATTCGTTGTTACAATGAACAAATCGATCGTGCTGGTGCACTTTGTAGGAACAAAGTTAGATTTCGGGGTACATTCTTTGGTATGGGACAAGCATCACCATATATAGCTTATGGAGTATCATTATATTACGGAGGATTGTTAGTTGCTAATGAAGGTTTACAACACGAAAACGTAATTAAGTATGTATTCAGATCTGTAAGTAATATATACATAAAAAATTTTAATTACTTAATAGAGTATCAGAAGCGTTACTATTCGGTTCATGGATGTTGGGATATGCTTTAGCATATTCACCAAACGTAAGTGCAGGTATTTTATCTGCAGAAAGCATATTACAACTATTTAGAAGATCGCCAGCAATACAAATTGTAGAAAAACAAACTATTAACGCCACTGAAGTAAGATATATTGATTAAAATGTTAAAGCTTTTATTATAATATGTACCTTATAGAAAACAGATGGTGATATTACATACAAAGACATTAACTTTCAATATCCAACAAGAAAAAGCATACAAATATTGCAAAATCTCAACTTGGATATTAAACGTGGGACCACAGTAGCATTGGTAGGATCATCTGGATCTGGTAAATCGACATGCGTACAACTTTTACTTCGTTATTATGATCCAAATAGTGGTTCAGTCAATATAAATGGTATACCAACTACAGAATTTTCAATGGATACTTTGCGTTCAAGTTTAGGTCTAGTATCACAAGAACCTGTATTATTCGATCGAACAATTGCAGAAAATATTGCTTATGGAAATAATTTCCGTGATGATATTCCTATAGCTGAGATAATGGAAGCTGCTAGGAAAGCGAATATACATAATTTTATTGTTTCCTTACCTCAAGGTTATAGTACTTCCTTAGGTAGTAAAGGTACACAATTATCTGGTGGTCAAAAACAGCGAATTGCCATTGCAAGAGCTTTATTAAGAAATCCAAAAATACTTATTTTGGATGAAGCCACATCTGCTTTAGATTTAGAAAGTGAAAAAGTGGTTCAAGAAGCTTTGGATGCTGCTCGAAGCGGTAGAACTTGTATTACTATAGCACATCGTCTGACAACAGTACAAGATGCAAACATGATATATGTTTTCAATAAAGGACTGATAGTAGAAAAAGGAACACATGATGAACTTATGGCGTTGAATGGTGTCTATGCAAAACTTTATGTAATGCAACAGGTTTCATAGTGCATTTATTTATAATGGTACATGTAATGAATTAAACTTATTTTCATTCAATTGTTTTTTATGTCTTGTCATTATTGAAGTAAATATAAAAGTGAATATAGTAAATAACGAATAAAAGTGTTTCTGGTAAAACCTTACTTCAATATTAAAATTAAGTAGGAATAACTTTTAGATATATTTTTTAGGTAATTTTCATATTTTGATACAGAAATTAGTAGCATTAATACTGTGTAAGCATTGGGTACCACACCATCTTTATTTAAATGTTCTCCAACTTTTCTTTGTATCGGAACTTCTATCCGTTCCATTTTTAATAATAATAATATCTCTTGCACTATGTTTCAAAAGTTTTTTTTGATCATTTTACGAAGGACATAATGGTAATAAACATTTTGTATAACTTATAAAACAATTGTGGAAACATGAATCTAACACAGCACTCCGAAGATAAAAGTAGAATCAAAGCTATGAATTGAATGAATACGACAAGAGCATGGCTACTATTTCTTAAATAGCGAATTAGAATGGACTATTCTGTTTACTATCACTGTATGAACATTGTAAACATTGTTGTAGTTAACGAAATTGGAAGAATGTTCAGGATGTTTTTTAGCTGCATGAATATTATGGATATTGATAACTATGGTTGACATTTCTGTACAGTAAGGTTTGGCAATTCATCATGAATTATTTAACACTAGAACAATCCTTTCAAATTATAAAAAATTTACTTCAAAAAAAAATAAATCTGTTCTTGAAGTTTTTGGAGCAGAATTTTGTTTATTAATGAAGCTTATTTTTAATTAAATAACTACGCCAATAAGCAAAATTGCAGTATACGTTATTGTAATTGGCAGTAAGGTTTGAAGATTAATTTTATAATTTATTACGAATTAAATCGAAAGTACCTTGTTCTTGTTAAACATTTGGCAGCTATTTTATAATAATTGAAGAGCAGTAATTTATATATTAATAAAGCAATTGTATTATTTCACATGGGAAAATGAAAGATTTCAAAATTCAAATAAATAAAAAGCATTTGCTAATATATCATCATGACTTTAACGGATAACTGCAAATAGGTAGGAGATTGCACAGATTGGAAACCGAAAAGATTTTATTTATAGTATTGTTTTACATTGAAAAATAATATCCATAACTTGTGCAAAATTTCATTTACAATATAAACTACAAAGAATACTCATTTGTTTAGTGAAGTTAAATGTGAAGATTTATTCCAGCTGCAATAGATAACCCAATCTCAATTTTATTAAAAACGCTATCGCATATTTAACCATATACAATAAATTCTAGAAACTATCCTACTAAAAATATTAAATATGTACGGCACTTAACAGAAACTCCCACAATTTGGATTTTTTCTAATAATGCTTTTCTAATTAAAAAAGAAAAACACGAAAGTGACTCAAGATCCCAGTTGTTGACAGTTGTTAACTTCGCAAAAAATTTATAATTGATGTTTTTATGGTTCTATGAATGAAGTTAATTTATGCCCCTTTACAAATCTCATCAGTTATTTCAATACTGTAGAATCCTCTATGGCAAGCTATCCAGTATAAGCTTTATTCAGTATCATTCAATTCAAATTTGAGTTTTTGTTAATCCGCATTAAATTGGATTAAACATATTTCATAGTTATAGAATATAGCTATATTCTATAGTATTCCATATATTATGGTTGGTTATTTTTCCGAAGTTGTAGTATTAATGTCGTTTAATCTTTTCTTAGCAAACAATAGTACAACACAAATTTCAAAGTCTTTAAACCATTCCATATTAGAATAGTTGCATAGATTTTATATCCATGATGGGCAGATTCAATTTGTTAAAGTTTCACACTTTAAGGTTCTATATCAATTTCGCATTATTTCATTCACTTCTTTTTGGAAATCACTGTATCAAAATAGGGAAAAGAACTCTTTTTGAGTTTTTTTGAGTTTTTATTTAATTTTTATTATATTTTGTTTTTTTCTTTTTCACCAATCTGTTTTATATAAAAATACATTTGCAATCAGTTGAGAACTAATTGCGTTACTTATTACTACTCAAATGCAATATTATAAACTATCTGTTGTAAATAAATTGTTTAAAATTGAACTTTTGTATATATTAGCAATATACTACCATATTTGTTTGAATGGTATAACAAACAAGTGACACGTGGTACCTAAATTCGTTTGGCTTTACCTTCCTTATGTAATGACATATGACTTTTTTTTTGGTAATTTTAATATATATGTAGAAAAGGAAAAAAACTTTTTATAAAATAGAATGATGGCATTGATGGGCGAATCAACTCAGGATAGAATTGTTGTAGACAATAATAAGAAACGCAAGTACATTATGGCTTAAATATATATACAATTTAGATTTAAAATTATTTTTATACATTTATATAAAAAACATGTTCAAATATAAATATAAAATATATATATAACCAGTAATTTGTTTAGATTATAAACAATTATTATTATGGGTTTAAAAAAAACTATCAAGGTTTCATTAATTATACAAAACAATATCTTAACTTCCTAATAATATCTCTTTAACATAAACTACTAAATGGTAACTGTTTGATAAAATAATGTCAATAAAAAAGCATTAAAATTATTCATTACATCTACATCAATAATGATTATAATGTAGATTATAATTGACTGCATACGCAATAATGACTGTACAGAATGTATTAGCATTTCATAAAGGATGCAAATTCAAGCACTACAACATTTTTCTCATTAATAATGCAATCAATACACATTAACTTACTTAATAAGAGAATTAATTATATATGAGTATTAATAATTAATATTAATAAAATATTTTTATTTTTTTTCAGAAGAAATGTATAAAACGACTTACAAGCACCCTCAAGTCACAATGACATTTCAGAAATTCACGCGAAAACTTAAAACTCGCAACAAAAATATATATATATTCTAAAATATGTTAAATGTGTAAAAATAGATAAGAGCATTTGTGATTTGGTGAAAATTTTACGAGTTTTAAACACCGAAGGATTCGTCACATACTAAAGCAATTGATTAATTATTTTCTGCTTTTCAATTTTTTCAAATTAAATTATTTTTATAAAGTTATAAAGTTGAGAAAGTTTTAAACAATTATTTCAACAATTATTTCTCATTACCTTCCGTTAAAGAATTTTCATGCAGGTGCAGCAAAATTTGTGTGAAAACAGTAGATTAGTGAATATGTGATATATATATAAATACGTCAGTTTTTCAACATATCTTTTAGTTGGAAATAAAATATTACTTACCTGTGACAAAGTTTTACATTTTTAGTTCCAAAGTAAACGAAATTAAAAGAGTTTTGAGATTCAGATTATATATCACAAGTGTTTGTATGATTCAAAGTGCACAATTAAAAAGTATTTCAATGCGATATTTTTGAAATTATATTTTATTTAGAATATGTATAGTGTAAATAAAACTACTTAATTACTTATCACCTCAATAAGCCAAACTCAGTGCAGCCATCATCTCAAATAAATAAAATTAATAAATCAATAAACTGACTTTAAAATGAATTAATAAAATAAATTAAAAAAAACTTAAAAATCATGGCACACAATAACTCCAATATACCAACGGAACCTGATATAATTCTCTCCCCCACAGAAAAAAACAACAGAAGTTCACAAGAGAAGCCTGATACTCTGCAAAACAGTACTAATTTGCACATAACAAATAAAAAGTTCGTATAAAAAAATATTTAAAATAATGCACAACATATACTTTAATTATTTTATATTTTTAATAAATATGTTCGCTCATGTTATTATGTTATTACTATGCAAAATAAATAATTAAATAATTACTGAAATTACAATAATTAAAATAATTTCCTATAATTTTAGCACCGTTGCAAGAAATACAGCTAAGGTCTCATATGAAAATCAGTTTTCATATTTACAATTAGTAAGTATATTTAAAATTTTTTCTACAAGAATACAATATAAGAATATAAATAATTCTAATTTTAAGTAAAAAGAAATAATAATAAATTAGTTATTAATTAGACATTATTTATTCTTAGAATAAGACATAAATTTTGCAGATTAAAATACAGGTGATGAAAGAATAAGACGATTAATTCATTTTATTATATTATTATTACTGTCAAAAATGTAATTACTTATGTAATTATGATAAATACAAATATAAAATAATAAATAAATAAATATAAAAATCGACATGAACTACCGCAACCGACCACAACCAAACCAAACTGCTTCTTCAGCTGACTACTTTTCTACTGCCTTACCTCTACAACCGAATTCCCAACCTTCTACCATTTTCAATTAATTGCGTTGCCAGCTTTTTGCATATATATGTATGGACTTACTTTTGTGTCTACTATATTTCCTAAATATTGTAATTCTTAAACTTTCTTAAAAAATTAATTTACTTACCCAAATCACGATGTATGCAAAAGTGTGTTTCAGATATATTATAATAAGTCATGTTAGTCACAATCCAAACTTTTCTTAACAAATCATTAAGTCAATGGAATGAAAGGATTTATAAAGTCATCCTTCAATGAACCATTTGTAAGGGTAATATAGTTTTTTAAGACTAGAATCTTATAGTTATTTTAGTTGACAAAGCAACGAATAATTTCTCTTAATTAATACTAAAAGGTTTCTATATTCTTCAAGATTGATTTTTATAGTATTATATTATTTCTACTTATATTTAAATTATTAATTATTATGACTCACTAAAGGTAAATATTTGTACCTTTATTTAATTTTATAATTAATTACTACATATTATGTAAGTGATTTGATTATTCTATAAACAAGTATTAACTTTTATTTAATTATTTAGTTCAAGTATTCAACGACTTTTGAACGTTTTTTGCTAGCTATTGCCATTGTGTTCGCTTCACTTGCTTCAATATCTGTATTATATTGTTTAGTAATATATGGAGAATTCACATCATTACTAATAGATCGTTCAGTCGGAAATGGTTCCTCGTCCTCAACTATTTTTTTACAAGTTTTTGGAGGCGGCACCAAATTGTGAGTCATCAGTTGTTACAAAGAAATATTTATCAAAATATATTAAAACTATTTCGTAACATATCTAGAACAAATGCCACCAGAGAAGAAAACCTACAAGTCATTAAAGATGATGCTTTAGCATTTGGAATAGCTAGCTTGATTGGAGCGTTATCAGAATGGTTGCTTCTAGCTGTTGCAGTTGATCTTTTCAATCATGTAGCTTTGAAACAAGTAAATAGTTTTAATTTATGATATGATATACAGTTTGTCAAGAAAGTGTTTTGACAAAGCAAAAAATTTGTATTTTTTGTTTTTATTTCCGAAAATATTAGTTATTATTTTTTATTTCGATCTTTTTTTTACACATTATGCTTACGCAACATATTTAATCTTAAAATAAGACAAAAAACTTATTCATTTAATGTTACAACAACAATAAAAATAACGAAAATAAAAAAAACTTAAAAATACTAGTGTCAAGAAAGTGTTTTTATAAATGAAATAAACGGTTGTTTTCACTTTACAGTGATATTAAATAAGTATATTTATATAAATTAATATTTTGTTGGACCTCCTTTTGAGTCTATTACGGCTTGCAGTCTTCTATTCATTGAATTTATCAGCTTGGGCACATCATAATTAATGGGTATTTTAGACCACTCCTGTAAAATAGCTGCCTTTAGCTGTGATAGAGTTTTTGGGTGTTGTTTAGCTACTTTTTTTTTTAAATAAGCCCACAAATTTTCAATGGGGTTTAGATCTGGGCTCTGAGCAGGCGTATCGATGACTTTGTTGCAGTTAAATAGTAGCCACATCTTCACCATATGCGCCTTATGTTTGGGATCATTGTCTTGATAAAATTTAAACTTTGGCTTATTGCCTTGAATGAAGCCAAATTTATTTGCGCTGCTGATTAAATGATTGTGCAATATATTTAAATATCCTTTTGCATCCATTGTATTTTCAATAAATACAAGATCTCCAACGCCCTTGGTGGAAATACATCCCCAAATCATAATTGAAAGTTTGCCAAATTTTACAGTAGGAACTATATTTCTGTTTTCCAGCGCTTTTAATGGCTTTCTCCATACTCTACTAGGTCCATCATTATAATATAGCATCATTTTAGTTTCGTCACAAAATATGACGTCATCCCAATAATCATTTGGCTTACTTATATGCAATATTGAGAAAGACAAGCGTTTTTTAATATTTTCTGTCGATAGCAGTGGTTTTTTACGTGCTACTCTTGATGTATAATCATTTTTTTTCAGAACTTGCCGCATTGTTTCATGAGAAACAGTAACACCACTTTCTTCCTTAAGTTCATGCGCAAGGGTTCTGATCGAAATTCGTGGATTTTCATCTACTTTTCTTAATAAAGATCGAATATTTCGATCTGATAACTTTCGAGGACGGCCAGTTACTTCATTTGGTTGCAATCTTCCTTCATCTTCTGCACATTTTATGATATTATAAATGGTTTGTCGACTTAAACAAAACATTTCGGATAGCTCACTAATGGTTTTTCCATCATAATAGTTGTAATAGACCATCTGTACTATATTAAACGAAACTCTTTTACCTGGCATCTTAATAATTTCAATAAGCACAATTTACCTACCACCCACGAAGATTAAACGCAACTAAATTACTATTTTTAATTGCTATTTGAACAAACAAATGCATTAAACATACGTCAGCATCATTTGAATAACGGTAAATGCATTTCTTAGTTCGAATTAGGAAGAAATAAATAATGTAAAAACACTTTCTTGACACTAGTATTTTTAAGTTTTTTTTATTTTCGTTATTTTTATTGTTGTTGTAACATTAAATGAATAAGTTTTTTGTCGTATTTTAAGATTAAATGTGTTGCGTAAGCATAATGTGTAAAAAAAAGATCGAAATAAAAAATAATAACTAATATTTTCGGAAATAAAAACAAAAAATACAAATTTTTTGCTTTGTCAAAACACTTTCTTGACAAACTGTATATATATTACATAAATATAATAGTAATAAAACTAATTTTTTTCTCATGTAGATTACTAAAATACGTAAACTCTTTTTGGAAGCTATCCTCAGTCAAGATATGTCTTGGTATGACACAAGCTCGGGAAATAATTTTGCAAGTAAATTAACAGAGTAAGTTAAAAATATTGTAATTAGTCTATTCACTATCTTGGGATAACTTACGCTTCCCAATTTGTTAAAAAATACATTTTTTTATAACCCTGAATCTTCTCGTAATATAAATAAAAAGACTGGTTCTTTTTAATTTCTTTATTTTATTATTACTTATACTAAATACTTATTAAAAATTATATTAAAAAGAAATTAAAAATATTAAAATTTCTAAAATTAGAAGAACTAATAACGTTACCAACTAGGCCACGATTGTGTAATGGGAACTAATCAACGTTACCGACAAGGCCACTGGGAACTAGTCAACGATACCGACTAGGTCACGTTTGTACACTGGAAAATTAATCTAAATATCTCATTGGAATGCGTTTGCTTTACCATGAACTTATCGATGCTGTCTTTTCTTGTAACCGCCACGGTGTGATCTTCAGTTAAGTTTTCGTGTTCTTTTATATGCCAATCTGCTTACGGGAGTTTCACTTATAGTTCGTATGGTGTGTAGTTGATCTTGGATTTGTTATTGCTTACCAAACCATTCTATTGTTTGTGAAATTTAATGTTGTTGCTATTCAATTGCAATAACTCGACAAGTGATCGCGCAGTGTCCCCATGTGCTCAGGACATTTGTTTGCCAGAAAAATTTTTGAACGGTTCCTACTATGCATTTTGTTGCTTTGCTTACGCATAAAAGTTAAAAAAAAAATTTTTTTGACAAAAATTGAATATATAGTTTTATAAACAAAATTTTTTTACACCTAAAAACATAATTGGTAAATTTACATAAATTTATTTGAAAAATATTATTTTAACAAATTATTTTATTCGGACAGCTGTAGTAAATAACGGCGTCACAATATGTTAAACTCTTCGATTTTAACTCAAACCAAATGTTTCCTCGTACAGAGATCTGGATAAGATGAGAGAAGGCATGGGAGAGAAGATTGGCATTTTTATTTTTCTAATGATGACTTTTATAACTGGAATTATCACTTCCTTCTTCTATGGCTGGGAAATGACTTTAGTCGTTTTAAGTTGCAGTCCTCTTCTAATAATCTCCATCGTTATGGTTACCATAATTCAAAGTTCTCTCACAAAAAAGGAAATAAAATCATATTCTGCTGCTGGAAGCATAGCTGAGGAAGTGTTCTCTGGTATTCGTACTGTATTGGCCTTTAGTGGTGAACAAAAAGAAACTCAACGGTTTAGTAAATTACTTATTCCTGCTGAGATCATAGGACGTAAAAAGGGCCTTTATTTCGGTATAAGTGCAGGAATAATGTGGCTTAATTTTCATTGCTGTTACGCTCTTTCTTTATGGTATGGTGCAAAACTTATACTTACTGAACGTGATGAAGAAGTTGACCACTACACTCCGGGTATCTTGGTTATTATTGTTTTTAACATATTAGAAGGTTCTCGATATTTTGGAATCGCTTCACATCATTTAGAGACTTTCATTGCAGCCAAAGAATCTGCACAAAATATATTCGCAACTATAAAAAGCAAATCATCCATAGATTCTCTAAATGAGAACGGAGCAACGCCTTCAAATATTGTTGGAAATATTTCTTTTGACAACATTTGTTTTCGTTACCCCGCACGTCAAGATGTGGAAATTCTAAACAGTTTCTCATTAGACATTAAAGCCGGTCAAACTGTTGCATTGGTTGGAACTTCAGGATGTGGCAAATCAACTGTATTACAATTAATACAACGTTTTTATGATCCCCTAAATGGAACAGTTCGATTAGATGGTATAAATATAAAAGATTTAAATGTGGGTTGGTTACGTTCCCAAATTGGTGTGGTTGGTCAAGAACCTGTTCTATTTGCAACAACAATTGAGGAGAATATTCGTTATGGTAATCTATCCGCAAGCGTAGAAGATATACAGAAAGCTGCTCGTATGGCAAATTGTCATGATTTTATAAGTAAATTACCAAATGGTTATGATACAATGGTTGGAGAGAAAGGTGCTCAATTGTCTGGTGGACAAAAACAACGTATTGCTATTGCACGTGCTCTTGTACGTAATCCAAAAATTTTACTTTTGGATGAAGCCACTTCAGCACTTGATTCCTCATCTGAAAAAAAAGTTCAGGATGCTTTAGAAGTAGCTAGTAAAAATCGAACGACATTAATAGTATCACATCGTTTATCGACAATTACTAAGGCCAATCTTATTGTATTTATTAAGGGTGGTGTTGTTGTCGAACAGGGAACGCACGAGAATCTGATGAAGAGAAAAGGATATTACTTTCAACTTGTAAATATAACTAAACGGAAAGAGGAATTAGAATCTGGCTCAACAGATTCTACTATGACGCATTTAATTCCAGCGAAGCAATTAATTGCGGTAGCAGAGAACAAAAATGAAAACAACTTGAATGAGGAATCTGAACCAAATAACGTGTCGAGAGCAAAAAGTAAGTTCGTACAGTTCATGTATTTCTACATATATGGTATAGCATATGTTGGTATATAATAGATAATATTAAAAATTTTACCAAACCATTACAACTAATGAGTGGGTCAAAATATTTTTAAAGTATTTTAATATGCTTTTTAGAGACGTCAAAATTGAAAACGGAACCGGTTGAAAAGAGCGGAATTTCGTTCAAACAAATAATGAAACTTAATGCACCGGAATGGCGTTTTCTATTGACCGGCAGTGCAGGAGCAATTATGCATGGAGCTTCTCTTCCATGTTGGGGTCTACTTTTTGGTGAATTTTTTGGAGTGAGTTTCTAATATTATTGAAAGATTAATTTAAAAAACTATTCGTGTGCACAGATTATATCCAAAGAGGATTCAGATTTTGTGCAATCCCAAATTCTTCAACTTTCTTATAAGTTCATTGTGCTTGGCATAATTGCGGGTCTAGGAATATTAATACAAAATTACATGTTCAATATCGCGGGAGTAAAGATGACATCTCGTCTTCGTAAAACCGCTTTCAAAACAATTATTAGTCAAGAAACTGCATACTTCGATGATCAAAGTAATTCTGTGGGTGCATTGTGTGCTCGATTAGCAAGTGATTGTTCAAATATTCAAGGTGTAGGTATATTACTATTAATTCCCAATAAATATTAATTGATGTCACTAATGTTTCTTAGGCTACTGGAGCAAGAATTGGAATTATCGTTCAAGCACTATCAACTCTCAGTATCAGTGTTATTGTATCTTTATTTTACTCATGGAACTTAACTTTAGTCACAATCTTTACCGTACCTGTTGTTTGCTTGTCAATTGTTTTTGAGTCACGTTTCATGGAATCATATGCTCTTGCTGAAAAACTTGCCATCGAAAATGCTTCACAAGTAGCAGTGGAAGCTGTTTCAAATATACGTACTGTCGCCAGTTTAGGATTGGAAAGAAATGTACTGAGTCGTTACAATGAACAAATTGATCATGCTGCTATAGTTTATCGCAAAAAATTTAGATTTCGAGGTATGTTATTTGGTATGGGGCAAGCATCACCATATTTAGCTTATGGAGTATCATTGTATTACGGAGGATTGTTAGTTGCTAATAAAGGCTTACAATATGAAAATGTTATTAAGTATGTATTTAGATTTATGCGCAAAACAGATATAATTAATTTTAGTTACGTAACAGAGTCTCAGAAGCGTTACTATTCGGTTTGTGGATTTTAGGATATGCTTTAGCATATTCACCAAACGTAAGTGCAGGTATTCTATCTGCAGAAAACATATTGAAACTATTTAACAGATCGCCGGCAATACAAATCGTAGAAAAACAAACTATTAACGCCACTGAAGTAAGATATCTTGATTAAAATGTTAAAGCTTTTATTATAATATGTACCTTACAGAAAACAGATGGTGATATTACATACAAAGACATTAACTTTCAATATCCAACAAGAAAAGATATACAAATATTGCAAAATCTCAACTTGGATATTAAACGTGGGACCACAGTAGCATTAGTAGGACCTTCTGGATCTGGTAAATCGACATGCGTACAACTTTTACTTCGTTATTATGATCCAAATAGTGGTTCAGTCAATATAAATGGTATACCAACTACAGAATTTTCAATGGATACTTTGCGTTCAAGCTTAGGTCTAGTATCACAAGAACCTGTATTATTCGATCGAACAATTGCAGAAAATATTGCTTATGGAAATAACTTTCGTGATGATATTCCTATGACTGAGATAATGGAAGTTGCGAAGAAAGCAAATATACATAATTTCATTGTTTCCTTACCTCAAGGTTATAGCACTTCCTTAGGTAGTAAAGGCACACAATTATCTGGTGGTCAAAAACAACGAATTGCCATTGCAAGAGCTTTATTAAGAAATCCAAAAATACTTATTTTGGATGAAGCCACATCTGCTTTAGATTTAGAAAGTGAAAGAATGGTTCAGGAAGCTTTGGATGCTGCATGCAGTGGTAGGACTTGTATTACTATAGCACATCGTCTGACAACAATACGAGATGCAAACATGATATATGTTTTAAATAAAGGACTGGTAGTAGAAAAAGGAACACATAACGAACTTATGGCCTTGAATGGTGTCTATGCCAAACTTTATGTAATGCAACAGGTTTCATAGTGCATTGATTTATAATGGTACATGTAATGAATTAAACTTATTTTCCTTCAATTGTTTTTTATGTTTTGTTATTATTGAAGTAAATATATAATTAAATAAAGTAAATAACGAGTAAAAATCTTTCTTTTAAAACCTTACTTCAATATTAAAATTAAGTAGGAATAACTTTTAGATACACGTAGCAAAAATATCTATGGACTCCCACAAAATTTTTCTTCAATTTCGCATAACATTTTTAATTTTTACTCAAATTGATTTTTATTATCTGATTTATATTAAACACAATTAAATGCAAACACAATTTTTTAATCAGAAAATGTTTACTGATACTTCTTAATATTTAAATTAAAACTGACACAAATCTTAAATTTAATAGCCTGTGGAATAAATTCTTCGTTTAATAACCTCTTTTAGGCGTCTTTGCATGGACTTAAACAGCTTTGCAGTATTCTGTGCCTTTATTTTTCAACATTCTTCCTTAATGACGTTTCTTAACACATCCTTGCTGAAAATTGTGTGCTGGTGAATCTTATTTTCCAAATAATCCCACAGATGTTCTATGGGACTAAGGTCTGGTGATTCTGGTAGTGCTTAAAGTTGCTTGGAAGCGTGGTTTAGCATCCAAATCCGTTCGATCGCTGCTGTAAGCTTAGAGTCGTTCTCCTGCTGAAACAAAATAGTTCCCTCAAGCCCTAACATTCTGTCATTTTTTTTGAAACTTGTTTTTAGTATATTTAGATACTCAAATTTATCCATTGTGTGTTGGAAAAAATTCCAGTTTGCCAGCATCATTACTTGCTATACACCTCCAAATAACTACACCTTCAGCACCATATTTCACTGGTGAAATTAAATATTAATTATCATAGGCTGTAGGTACATAATTTTCTCAACACAAGTTTGTTACCTTTGATTCCAAATACGCAAAATTAACTCTCATCGGTGAAAATAACTCATTATCAAAACTCAATTGGTTTATTTACATGCTTTCTTGCAAAGCTTAATCATTTTATTCTTTTATATCTGGATATAAAGGAATTAGCTAGTTTGGAAAATTTTGTGGATGTCCGTAGACTTTTTCTGCTATGTGTATACCTGAACTATACACTCAGTATTTATTATGAATGAATTCATGATTTCATTAATTAGTTTTCATTGAACATAATATATTTTTACTTACGTATTCCATCTAAATTCTTAATTACCATTAGGACAATAAGTAATATTATTGTGCCGTTAGAGCATCCTTCTTCCTTCTTTAGAACAAAATTGTAAATCTACAAAACAATCATTTAAAATATACAAAAATTAATAATAGATAATAATATTTTAGGCAACAAAAACTTTTTTAACATTTTCAAATATGTTGAATTCCTCTGTATATATATATATATTTCACGTTTATTGGAAGGATAAAATTCAATGGACTATATCCCATAGCTATTACATAAATTGCACATTCGGATTTGTATTTTTTACAATAATAATAGTAATTTACTGAATACGCTGTAAAAACTTAAATTCGTATTTTATTACAAGATCTCCACTCTATCATTTGTCACAGCAAAAACAGTAAATTAATAGAATGATCAGATGAAAACATAATCCAGAGAATTTTTTTGATGAATATTGCATTGAACGACCAACAACTGTAGATTAAACATTCAAGAATGATACTTTGTGTTATAAAACTATTATCTTATAGAATTTGGGGTGGGTTATTGAAACTATTGGAATTCCGCTGTAATACATTCAGAAAAATCTGTTTAAAAATATAAAAACAGTAATTATCTTGGGCAAAAACTTTCCTGCCACTAATATATAAACGAAAGAAATACCTAGATGGACATCTTAAATGAGATGAAAATAATAAAGCTCTGCATAACAGGTTAATATTTCAATTTATTGTGAAAATTGATTCAAACAAACATTCTATATCAACAAAAGCGATGTAATAGACCTCTCTATCGAAGTATAAAATTCCCTAATGTAATAGTTATAGGGTCTCGGCGAGAGTTTTTGCGTTTCCTGGCATTGGACGAAAAACGTATTCGGATAAACAGTTTTAAAAGTTGTTTTGAACACTCTACAAAGAACATAGTAGTAATAAACTTTTTTTATAACTTTTAAGAATATTGTTGAAACATGAATCTAACACAGCACACCGAAGATAAAAGTAGAATCAAAATTATGAATTATTTTTTCGAAATTGTTTTATTAATGTCGTTTAATCTTTTTTTAGCAAACAATAGTACAACACAAATTTCAAAGGGTTTAAACTATTCCATATTAGAATAGTTGAATAGATTTCATAACCATGGTCGCCAGATTCAATTTGTTAAAGTTTCACACTTTAAGGTTCTATATCAAGTTCACATTATTCCATTCACTTCTTTGGGGAATCACTGTATCAAATTAGTCGGAAAGAACTTATTTTCAAGTCAATATCCGAAACGTTTACACAATATTCAATGGCATACAATATTTGTATATCATGCAATAAATTATGTATCATGCAATAAATTGTGTATCATGCAAAATAAATTGTATATCATGTTATTTATTACAATTGTACGTGTATGCTGTTTAAGAAATTCTATCATCTATTGCTAACAAAAAAGAAAGTTACTTATCCATCAGATATATGTTATTTTCATAATTCTATAGATTTACAATTAAAATATATTTATATACAATTTCGAATTTTATATTAAATTATGTTCTAAACATTGAAATTGTTTATTTGGCGGTTCTCTTCAATTTCAATTTCAAATGCCAACTGCACTCTTATTCGTCAATTTTCATTTTGCTGCCAGTGTTTATTGAATTCCTATTTTATTTTGTTTTTCCTATTTTTCCAATCTGTAATATAAACATACATTTGAGTTAAGTTGAGAACTGATTTCGATAAGAAACACAAGTACATTGCTGCTTCCTAATACTCAAATGCACAATCTTAGTACAAAAAACAAAACTGACTTCCATTAAGAAAAATATATTGTGCATAATGGAAGTGTGCTTGTAAATACCAAATTCATTTATGTGAACAACGCAAAATTATAAACTATCTATTCCAAATAAATTATTCAAAATTAATATTTTGCACAAATTTGTACAAAACGAACAAGTGATACATGACAGTTAATTTGGTTTGCCCATAGCTTGCATTTCTAATAATGAGGCGTACGACTATTTTTTTTTTTTGCTGATTTCAATTTGTTAGTAGAGAGGGAGAAAATTTTCTATATAATGGGGATATACGATTAAAGAGCGACATTACCAAAGATAGACAAGTTATTAATAAGTTATAACAATAAGCATTTAGATATAAAATATATATATAAGATGGAAGTTTAATATTATTTTCATATATATATATATATATAAATATATATTAAGAAGTTTTTGAAAAGTAGTGAACTACAAAAACAAACATTTTTGTATATTACTTTTAATCAATTTTCATATTCAGTTTTTGGCAGACCATGCAGTTGTTTCGAGTATTGCCAAATACCCATCAGCAGTGGTCTTGAAAATAATTCTTGTATTTAATTACTCGAAAATAATTTTTTTTTTGAAACTGCAAATACCAGGGATTTAACTCATGCCCTGCCAAATTTGAAGCTCAAAGTTAGCGTTCATTAGCTAGCTGACCCAAAGCCGAACTTGACTTTAATGTTCGCACATTTCTCTGGAGTTTTGTTAATTTACTGTGAACAAAATCATAAACCAGCTATAGAATAATTGAACAAATTAAAATATATATATCACTTTTCTATTTAATTTATATAGTAAAAGTCTTGGTTTTTAAAAAACACTATCAAGATTTCATTCGAATAATACAAAATAATACCTTAACTTATCAATGAACTGTTAAATTTTTTATTTGTAAAGTTATATTATATTCACCCAATTACCCAAGACTATTTACCCCTTTCACATAAATTACTGAGTTGTAACTGTTTGTTAAAACTAAGATAAATAAAAAATGCATTGAAATTATTCATTAAATCTACATTGCTAATAATGACTAAACAGAATGTATATACATTTAGATTTGACTTCATAGACAAAGGATACAAATTCACACACTATAATATTTTTCCCATTAATAATGCAATTCACATTAATAAGAGAATTCGTTATATATGAATATTAATATTTAATATTAGAAAAATATTTTAATTTTCCACCAGAAAAATGTATAAAATGACTTACAAACACCCTCAGGTCACAATCACATTTCAGAAATTCACGCGAAAACTTAAAACTCGAAACAAAAATATGTTAAATGTGTAAAAATAGATAAGAACATTTGTGATTTGGTGAAAATTTTACGAGTTTTAAACACCGGTGAATTCGTCACATACTAAAGCAATTGATTTATTATTTTCTGCTTTTCAATTTTTTCAAATTAAATTATTTTTATAATTTAAAAACAGTTTAGAAGTTTTAAACAATTATTTCATTTTATGCCTTCCATTAAAGAATTTTCGTGCAGCAAAATTTTTATAAAATCAGTGGATTAGTGAATATCTGAAATATATATAAATACGTCACCTTTTCAACATATCTTCTAATTGGAAATAAAATATTACTTACCTGTGACAAAGTTTTACATTTTTAGTTCCAAAGTAAAAGAAATTAAAAGAATTTTGAGATTCAGATTATATATCACAAGTGTTTGTATGATTCAAAGTGCATAATTAAAAAGTATTTCAATGCGATATTTCTGAAATTATGTTATAACTCTTTGTTTAGTAATATTTAGAATATTTATAGTGTAAATAAAACCACTTAATTACTAATCACCTCAATAAGCCAAACTCATTGCAGCCATCATCTCAAATAAATAAAATTAATAAATCAATAAACTGACTTTAAAATGAATTAATAAAATAAATTAGAAAAAACTTAAAAATCATGGCACACAATAACTCCAATATACCAACGGAACCTGATATAATTCTCTCCCCCACAGAAAAAAACAACAGAAGTTCGCGGGAGAAACCTAGTACTCTGCAAAACAGTACTAATTTGCACACAACAAATAAAAAGTTCGTATAAAAAAATATTTAAAATAATACACAGCATATACTTTAATTATTTTATATTTTTAATAAATAGTAGAAGAAATTATAAAATTTATATCGAAAATGTTAGCTCACATATAGCTGACTTCATCTTATTACTATGCAAAATAGAAACAATAGTTCATCGGTATATTACGTCTCTACGGCTTAAACCAGCACATGTCTCATCTAACTCATACCCAATGATGTGTTTAATTATAATCACTCACATTCTCATTTATATATATTATTAAAATATTACCTCATATTTTAAATACACACACTGTATCTATATATACTAAAACTTGTGCAGTCATATAATATTATTTACATATTTTGTAATTGTAGTAAAAGTGACTAAGTTTAAATTTTGTTCAATCTTCATTTTTTAACTGAAATATTAAAATGTATAAAAATGTAGAAGTATTAACCAAACCAAAAAGTTTTAATTACTGAATTTTATTGCACAACATTATTTATTATTTATATTTATTCTACGAAAGATTTTCGAAAAACTGGGCTAATGGTTTCGAAATTTTTTCGTTTCCTTTTCCACCTTGAAGCATCTGATGTTCAACATTCGGGCATCAAGTCCCCTACTATGTTATAACCTTTCTGTAATCAATATCAAAGTTCAATAAAGTTAAGATTCTTTACTCAAACATTAAGTTGCAAGTCAACTCCGATACCATGTCATTACTACAATAATGTTCGTAGAGTTTTTTTTAAGAACATCCAATTATTTTTAAGAACATCCATAATAGAATTAAGCTTTTGCTTTCCTATCTCATATCTGTAATATATACACTTCCAAATAAATGTTACACAGAAATTAAAAGAATTTCATTAGTATACATACACATACACTTAAAATGTTTTAATGTGTACATATATAGATTATAATAAATTAAAGTTCATATAACAAATATTTTCAATATAGTAAAAAATAAATAATTAAAATTTTGAATTTATTTATCGACCTATTTTTTTATAATGGTTTTTTGAAATATTTTTTATCCGACTATTGGTAACTTTTTGTTAAATAATTTATTTTTTATTATATTTTAATATATTCTATATTTCGAATCTCCTTTAAAGTCATCGTCAGGATCACGATCTAACATAAATTAATGTTGATGAAACTATATGTGAGTCATCCTCTTTATTCTATTGTCTATATTATGTATATTGCACTATAGACAATAGAATAAAGAGAATGACGTAGATATAGTTTTATTAATATTAAATTATATTTGATCGTGATCCTGATGATGATTCTCAAGGATAGTCGAAATATAGAACATATCAAAAAATATTAAACAAGCGTTGAATCATTGAACAAAAAATGCCCTATAGCCGGATAAAAAAATTTATAAAAACCGTTATAAATAATTAAATGATAACAGATATAGTAATGAAGTTAATTTCTATTATTTCAGCATCGTTGAAAAAAATACAACTAAGGTTCCACATGAAAAACAGTTTTCATACTTACAATTAGTAAGTATATTTAATATGTTGTACACAAGAATATAATATAAGAACATAAATTAATTTATTTCCAAACAAAAAGTAATGATATTTGATTTTTTGCACAAAAATTATATTAATATAAGTTATTTAAGACATTAGCCATTCTTAGGTTAAGATATGTGAGTACCCAAAATTTTTACATAAAAATAGAGGATGAAATAGAGAATAAAATTATATAATTTAATGTAAAAAAAAATTAAATTTGAACTTAAAATTGCTTGCATGAAAATGTAATCCTTTTTGTACCTGTGGACTAAAGATTTCTAAACAATTAAAATTATTATCATCAATACCATAACGACCAACATGAAGTTCGATAGCGATCGACCTGTATTGTCCCTATGAAGCGGACCTCTTATTTTTGCTGTGCTCACTTACTTTTTTACTTTTGTTAACATCAGTCCAAAGTTTGTTACCAGGGGACATAAAAGAAATAAATTATATAAATGGGATTAAAAGGTTTGTAAAATCATTCTCCAAAGAACCGTTGATGATACTCGTAATTTGTAATAAACTCAAATAAATTTATTCATGTCCTGATTTCTTCAGTATGTTGATAAAATATTACAGTTTTTCAAGACTAGAATGTTATAGTTATTTTAGATGCCAAAACAACTTAAATAGTTTTCCTTAACTTTAAAAGATATCCATATTCTTTAAGATGAAACCATTTTAATGCATAATTTATCATTTTCTAATTAAATAAAATATTTGCAGGTTTTTTTAATTTTCCAATTGATTACTATATATTATAATAAACGATTTGATTAATCTGTAAACAAGTATTAACTTTTTTTTAATAATTTAGTTTAAGTATTCAACGACTTTTGAACGCTTCTTGGTAGCCGGCGGCGTGGTCTCTGCTTCACTCGCTTCAATATGCGTATTATTTTGTTTAGTAATATATGGAGAATTGACATCATTACTAATAGATCGTTCAGTCGGAATTGGTACTTCCTCCCCTACCATATTTCTGCAACTTTTTGGAGGCGGTACTAAATTGTGAGTAATCTGTTATAAAGCTGTAATAACAAAATATTTATTAACATTTATTAAAATTATTATCTGTTCGCTTTAGAACAAATGCCACTAGAGAAGAAAATCTACAGGCTATTAGAGATGATGCTTTAGCATTTGGATTAGCTAGCTTGGTTGGAGCTTTATTACAATGGTTACTTCTAGCTGTTGCAGTTGATCTCTTCAATCACGTAGCTTTAAAACAAGTAAATAAGTATAATATAGATCACAATATATACGTATATAAACAATAATAATAAAACTAATTTCTGTTCACAAGTAGATCACTAAAATACGTAAACTCTTTTTGGATTCAATGCTTCGTCAAGATATGTCTTGGTATGACACAAGCTCGGGAAACAATTTTGCAAGCAAATTAACAGAGTAAGTTTAAGTTATACAAAAAATAACTCTTTAATTTAAACTAAAACCAAATGTTTTCGAATAGAGATCTAGATAAGATGAGAGAAGGCATGGGTGAGAAGATTGGTATTTTTATTTTTCTAATGATGACTTTTATAACTGGAATTATCACTTCCTTCTTCTATGGCTGGGAAATGACTTTAGTCGTTTTAAGTTGCAGTCCTCTTCTAATAATCTCCACAGTTATGGTCACCATAATTCAAAGTTCTATCACAAAAAAGGAAATAAAATCATATTCTGCGGCTGGAAGCGTAGCTGAAGAAGTATTCTCTGGTATTCGTACTGTATTGGCCTTTAGTGGTGAACAAAAAGAAACTCAACGGTTTAGTAAATTACTTATTCCTGCTGAGATCATAGGTCATAAAAAGGGTCTCTATTCTGGTATAAGTGCAGGAATAATGTGGCTTAATTTTCATTGCTTTTACGCTCTTTCTTTCTGGTATGGTGCAAAACTTATACTTGCTGAACGTGATGAACAAATTAAACACTACACTCCTGGTATCTTGGTTATTATTGTTTTTAACACATTAGAAGGTTCTCGATATTTTGGAATCGCCTCACAACATCTAGAGACTTTCATTGCAGCCAAAGAATCTGCACAAAATATTTTCTCAACTATGGAACGTAGATCAGCTATAGATTTTTTAGACGAAAAATGTTTAAGGCCTTCAAATATTGTTGGAAACATATCATTTGATAACATTAGTTTTCGTTACCCCGCACGTCAAGATATGGAGGTTCTAAAAAGCTTTTCATTAGACATTAAAGCTGGTCAAACTGTTGCATTGGTTGGAACTTCAGGATGTGGCAAATCAACTGTATTACAATTAATACAACGTTTTTATGATCCCCTAAATGGAACAGTTCGATTAGATGGTATAAATATAAAAGATTTAAATGTGGGTTGGTTACGTTCCCAAATTGGTGTGGTTGGTCAAGAACCTGTTCTATTTGCAACAACAATTGAGGAGAATATTCGTTATGGTAATCTATCCGCAAGCGTAGAAGATATACAGAAAGCTGCTCGTATGGCAAATTGTCATGATTTTATAAGTAAATTACCAAATGGTTATGATACAATGGTTGGAGAGAAAGGTGCTCAATTGTCTGGTGGACAAAAACAACGTATTGCTATTGCACGTGCTCTTGTACGTAATCCAAAAATTTTACTTTTGGATGAAGCCACTTCAGCACTTGATTCCTCATCTGAAAAAAAAGTTCAGGATGCTTTAGAAGTAGCTAGTAAAAATCGAACCACATTAATAGTATCACATCGTTTATCGACAATTACTAAGACCAATCTTATTGTATTTATTAAGGGTGGTGTTGTTGTCGAACAGGGAACGCACGAGAATCTGATGAAGAGAAAAGGATATTACTTTCAACTTGTAAATATAACTAAACGGAAAGAGGAATTAGAATCTGGCTCAACAGATTCTACTATGACGCATTTAATTCCAGCGAAGCAATTAATTGCGGTAGCAGAGAACAAAAATGAAAACAACTTGAATGAGGAATCTGAACCAAATAACGTGTCGAGAGCAAAAAGTAAGTTCGTACAGTTCATGTATTTCTACATATATGGTATAGCATATGTTGGTATATAATAGATAATATTAAAAATTTTACCAAACCATTACAACTAATGAGTGGGTCAAAATATTTTTAAAGTATTTTAATATGCTTTTTAGAGACGTCAAAATTGAAAACGGAACCGGTTGAAAAGAGCGGAATTTCGTTCAAACAAATAATGAAACTTAATGCACCGGAATGGAGTTTTCTATTGACCGGCAGTGCAGGAGCAATTATGCATGGAGCTACTTTTCCATATTGGGGAATACTTTTTGGTGAATTTTTTGGAGTGAGTTCCTTAAGTTTTTAAAGCATTCATTCAGAAAACTATTTGTCTACACAGATTATATCCAAAGAAGATTCAGATATAGTTCAATCCCAAATTTTTCAACTTTCTTATAAGTTTATTTTGCTTGGCATAATTGCGGGTTTGGGAATATTAATACAAACTTACATGTTCAATATCGCGGGAGTAAAGATGACATCTCGTCTTCGCAAAACCGCTTTCAAAACAATTATTAGTCAAGAAACTGCATACTTCGATGATCAAAGTAATTCTGTGGGTGCATTGTGTGCTCGATTAGCAAGTGATTGTTCAAATATTCAAGGTGTAGGTATATTACTATTAATTCCCAATAAATATTAATTAATGTCACTAATGTTTCTTAGGCTACTGGAGCAAGAATTGGAATTATCGTTCAAGCACTATCAACTCTCACTATCAGTGTTATTGTATCTTTATTTTACTCATGGAACTTAACTTTAGTCACAATCTTTACCGTACCTGTTGTTTGCTTGTCAATTGTTTTTGAGTCACGTTTCATGGAATCATATGCTCTTGCTGAAAAACTTGCCATCGAAAATGCTTCACAAGTAGCAGTTGAAGCGATTTCAAATATACGTACTGTCGCCAGTTTGGGATTGGAAAGAAATGTGATGCATTGTTACAATGAACAAATCGATCGTGCTGGTGCACTTTGTCGCAATAAAGTTAGATTTCGGGGTACATTATTTGGTATGGGACAAGCATCACCTTTTTTAGCTTATGGAGTATCATTATATTACGGAGGATTGTTAGTTGCTAATGAAGGCTTACAATATGAAAACGTTATTAAGTATGTATATCAGATCTGTAAGTTAAACATAAATAAAAAATTTTAATTACTTAACAGAGTATCAGAAGCATTACTATTCGGTTCATGGATGTTGGGATATGCCTTAGCATATTCACCAAACGTAAGTGCAGGTATTCTATCTGCAGAAAACATATTGAAACTATTTAACAGATCGCCTGCAACACAAATATTAAAATACCAAACTTTTAACGCAACTGAGGTAAGACATATTGATTAATATATTAAAGCTTTTATTATAATATGTAACTTATAGAAAACAGATGGTGATATTATATACAAAGACATTAACTTTCAATATCCCACAAGAAAAGGCATACAAATATTACAAAATCTCAACTTGGATATTAAACGTGGGACCACGGTAGCATTGGTAGGATCATCTGGATCTGGTAAATCGACATGCATACAACTTTTACTTCGTTATTATGATCCAAATAGTGGTTCAATCAATATAAATGGTATACCAACTACAGAATTTTCAATGAATACTTTGCGTTCAAGTTTAGGTCTAGTATCACAAGAACCTGTATTATTCGATAGAACAATTGCAGAGAATATTGCTTATGGAAATAACTTCCGTGATGATATTCCTATGACTGAGATAATGGAAGCTGCGAAGAAAGCAAATATACATAATTTCATTGTTTCCTTACCTCAAGGTTATAGTACTTCCTTGGGCAGTAAGGGCACACAATTATCTGGTGGTCAAAAACAACGAATTGCCATTGCAAGAGCTTTGTTAAGAAATCCAAAAATACTTATTTTGGATGAAGCCACATCTGCTTTAGATTTAGAAAGTGAAAGAATGGTTCAAGAAGCTTTGGATGCTGCACGCAGTGGTAGGACTTGTATTACTATAGCACATCGTCTGACAACAGTACGAGATGCAAACATGATATATGTTTTAAATAAAGGACTGGTAATAGAAAAAGGAACACATGATGAACTTATGGCGTTGAATGTTGTCTATGCCAAACTTTATGCATTGCAACAGGTCTCATAGCATATTTTAAATATTATATATCATTACATATCATTATACTTTTCAAGTGTCGACAAATCTATACTATTCGCCCCCAGTTATTATGATATAGCTGCCGTTGTTAAACAAATAATTTAAATCAGAAATACAAGTACAACAAATTGTTTTGAATTAGTTAACTGCATTGAATAGTAATATTAATATTACTGTTAATCAAGGAATTGATAGACTTTTGACAAATACTAAATCAAAAAATTGAATTATGACTAAATTCTATATATACTATAAAGCATTAATGTTTTTAAAATAAATTTTGTGTTCGGAGAACTCTTTAATGAGTCTGCATGTAAACTTCACCACAATGGCGCCTTATTCTTCACTTAGTGTTGCTACTACTCAAAGCTGGCTTATCAATTAATTTATATTGTATTATATTTATTATTGTATTTATATATATATGACATATGTAGCCCTGTTTGACATCATATAAAATTTTATCTAAACATTCCATTAGGGCATTTATTAAACATACACAATATGATCATATCTGAGATATGTGTACCATATTCATACATTTTTTTATATTTTTATTGCTTATATTTTTGAACATCAATAAAAACTTTCTTTTGTAAACATATGAAATTAAGAATATTGGACAAAATTTTGTGTTTTAATTCAACTACAGGTAGGACTTTGAGTAATCAAACGTCGAAGAAAGGAAGAATCTTAGGTTAAAGTTTAACTTTATATCTTAACAGATAGTTTGGAAATTAAATTATAACTCTCAAATATCACTATAAAATATATAAATAATTTAGAAAACATTATCTTCTTTTATATACAATATATAGTCGGGTATTACATTGGAAGAGTTTAGGTCATACATACACGGTTTAGTAATAACAAAATTTTATTACGTTTGAATGATTTTAACGCAAAAAAAAACTACAAAAAAATTAACATAATTCTCATTTAAATTAATGTTAATAAATAAATGTTATTTTTTTTATGAGAATAGAATATTCATATGAAAGAGTAAAAAATATGCATTTCAAAATTCTATTAAGTAAATTAATTAAAATAGTCATTGCCTTAACTTCTTCTTCTTGTGTTATGAAATTTTACTTAACGATTTCCATATAATCTGCAAAAACCTGTAAATAAAGAATACAATATTGTATATCATAAAAATTTAATACTAACATTTTATTAATATAAATACAAAACTTACGTATATCTACCAAACTACATAATTTTATTAGCATTGGAATTCCATCTAGGTTTATTCCATTGTAAGCCTTAATAGCTGAAAAAGCATCCTTCCTATTTTATACAAAATATGTGCTATACCTAAAACCATATATCTCAATAAATTTTGATTCATTCTAAATGTTACATATTTATAATATGTATATAAATTCACATTTATCCGTAATATTATATTCCTTCAGATATAATTACCTAAAGATTGACCATCATTGTTGTAATGCACGCTCAAATCAATTATAACTCCAAAATCTTCGAAGAGAGTATGTAGATCATCATTGGTTACATATTTGTTAACATTATAAATCATTACCATAGCATAATTTTGAACCTACAAACAAATATTTAAGAATATAAAAATTAATAATATATAATATATAAAGCTAGAAATGGATAAAACCATTTTAATGTCAAAAAACAAACCCCTTGCTTAAAAGTAAATTTGGCACGATTTTTATAAATCCAATTTTTTCGAGAGATATTACGACGGAGTTTCCAGCGTTTTTGTTGATGATTTTTTTTATCTGCGATTATATCATCTAAACTTTTATTGTAATCGAATTTAAATAAATTGAATCGTTCATTGTGCCTTTCACGCTCCTTATTTTCAGCGATTAGTTCATCCAATGATTTATTGAAGTCCATCATGTATTTATTAAAATTATTTTTTTTTTTAAGATTTGTAAAATTTTTAATTGATTAATCGTATGGAACAAATTTTTGGATAAAATATAAATCATTGTCTACTAAAATATTCGAATTCTAAAAAAATTAATATGACCCTAAGATGTTTTATCAATAATCTTTAAAATGTTATTAACTTTAAATCTCTATAATTTACTGAGCCTGAAAATGTCCAATCAAAAATTAGTCTAAAATAAAAATGTTTGAAACCTCATCAGCACCTGTAAAAATTATTATTATTATTATTATTATTATTATTATTATTATTATTATTATTATTATTATTATTATTATTATTATTATTATTATTATTATGTTATTATTATTATTATTATTATTATTATTATTATTACTATTAAGAAAAGGGATATTGCACTGTGACCTAATAGATCTATTGTGCCCCTTAATCGGATTAGAGTGTTTCTTCAAGTCCGATTTTATTAATGAAAGGCAGTATAGAGCCTACCTTTTCTAGTCTTGAATCCTTATGTTCCATGAAATACCCTTCTAGGTGTTTCTTTCGCTTGTGCATCAGTACTGGGCACTCCCCAACCACTCTCACTTCTCTATCTGCAGTCTGAGTTGTATTAAATTTCTAACTTCATTAGGTGATTAGGTTATTTTTTAATTGATTTATGCAATCTTTTAAGCGTTTTAGGTTGTAAGTCCCTAAAAGCATTTTAGATTGTGATAGTCTTGGTAGCCTTTCCCAATAGAGTTCTCTTTCTTTTTCCTCTATGTCATTCACAAGAATCAATAGAGCTCCTTTGCCTAGACCACAGAAAGTTCTAGGTTTATCATTATTGAAGCCGCGCTTCTTCTTGCAAGTTTGTCTGCCATTTCATTGCCTTAGATGCCAGCATCCCCCGGAATTCATATTAAATGCAACTGATTGTTTCAGCATTTAATATGGATTCATTAATCTGGAGAAATCAAATTTAAAAATATTTCTTCAAATACACGTCTTTTTATTTTAACGGAAAAACATAAAAAAATTAATCGAATCGCAGGTAATGAAGTCAATTTCTGTCAAAATCTGTCCCATTTGTTTAATTTGTCAGTTTGATAAGCTCAGCTCATAGATATAGCGATAGAACTGTGTATCTGTCTTTGTATACTTTCTGAAACGACACCCTCTTGTTTTTAATTTTACTCATTTGACAGAAGTAATAAACTCGATTGACTGTAGTTGTTGTAGTTGTCTTATAAAATGAATATTTAAAATTCATTTTTCAGCTCTAATAAAATTATATTGCAATATACCATACCCAATAAATCTATATATGATAAAATTTATAAATATTCTAAAGTATAATATGCAACAGTAAATGTTAAATATGAGCGACTTCACTTGACTTGAAACTTGATTATAACAGCTTTGTTGATGATTTCTGTTGCGGACAGTCAAAACCTAAGTGATGACAAACACATCGGAAAAGAACTTCAAATGTTTATTATATGTCGAGACTGTAAGCATTTCACTGGTTGACATTTGCTAAATACTTATACTAAATAAAGAACTAGCAAAACTCTATACCGGTTTACCGGTTCTGCACTAGACTGGTTTTGAACCGTAACCCTTGACTTTTTATTATAATTATAATACGCTGGTATTGAAGTTAGTGAGCTTTGAACTGAACCATATTACATTCAAAGAGCTCTGATCACATATTATCAATTTTGTAGTAATCCATAGTTTGGTAATGATCATAATACGTCTAGTCATCATACTGATTCGGGATTTCTAGAACAGCCAGCTATGTATCAAAGTTTTTTTATCTTAATTGAGAAGAATATGATTAGCTATGGATATATAATTGTTATCGCGTTACTTAATTAATTATTTAATCAAATCGCGATTAATTATTATATTTAAGGTTTTCTCATGTAAAATAGGCATGTGAAAAATTTAAAGATTTTAAAATGCAAACTTAATAGAAAAAAAAACTTGCATTATAAAGTTGACCACAATATATTTACGATTCTGATTAATAACTGCGAAGAGGCAAATAATAAAGTAACTGGGTAATTAAACCATATAATTTATTTTATTATTTAACATTAAAGAAAAATATTTACAATTACAATTAAAAAACTTTATTTAAAATAAATAAAAATTTACTAATACTGGGAAACAGTTTTGATTTTCTGAAAATAACTTTTTAACAAAGCGTTATCCATTTCGTGCTGTTAATTTGACAGACTTATTTCAGTATTATATACCAAATAATATTTTCATTGTAGGCATTCTATATTTAGTTGAAGATTTACGATTTCATAATACAGATCGGTTAATAACTGCTAAATATAATAAAATTGTGAAAAATTATAACAATAGTGATAGCGTTTTCTCACATCAACTTTTTCGCAATGATTAATGATTAAACTTATTAAATCTGGGATAATGAAAATCTACAACACTATTGCATCCACAAAAAGCCATTATATAGAAATATGAACGGCCTGTACTTTTTGAAAATGAAAAAAGTGCAGCAGAATTAAAATAAGACTATTGGCATTATCTAAGCTAGTAAAAACATTATAATAAAATATTCTTTAAATATTAAAAATTTTTGACAGTGTTATAGTAAACAGAATATCACAAAAGTTTTAAAACCCAATACAAGTTTAATACAAATATTTTGTACACCAAATTTTATTTTACTACCTATTACACTACCTATTAAAAGAATTGAATTGAACCACCAGCCAACGAAATCAGTGGCCCCGAATCCTTACTCACCTGATCTTTCCATGAAATATTTGGACGTTCTCTACCTGCGGGTACCGAATTATACACCTTTCTAGCAGAAGCACTTTCTTCCATTTCCACAACATGACCAAGCTAACGAAGCTAACGATGCGCTTAACTATGTCAATGTCACTGCATACTTCATAGAGCTTATCGTTCCATCTACTTCGATACTCGTTGCCAAAGCGTAAGGGATTATAGATCTTCCGAAGAATATTTCTCTCAAATACATCTAACGCCTTCTCATTACTATGGGTAGTTGTCTAAACTTTAGCACCATACAGCAAGACTGTCAGTGAAAAGAGACTTTTGAGTTTATTTGTAAACTTCTATACCAGACAGCAAGACAGGTATGAAAAAAGAGTTGTATAGCATGGGTTTTGTTTGTTGAGAAAGGTTTTTATTTCTCAATTGCGTACTTATCCCGAAGTAACATCTGTTAATAGTTAGTAAAGCAAGAGTGATTCTTCGTTAAATCTCTGACGACTGACGACATTTTTGGTGTTTACACTGGTTCCAAAATAAATAAAGCCTTTAACAACAACGAACTTATCATTGTTAAGAGTAACATGTGTCCCAAGATCTTCAGAAGATTTGTTTGCTAACAAAAATTACTTTATTACATCCTCATTTACCGTAAGACTAATTTGCTGCGCTTACTTTTTAAGTTGGAAAAAGATGCATTAACAGTGGGAGTATTTAAGCGAATAATATCAATATCGGCGGCATAAACTTTGTAGAATATTGTGTTAATGTAGTTTAAATCTGCTGCTCGGATTATCGTTTTTAATATTACGTTAAAATGGACACACAACTAGAAGTCACCCTATTTGAAATTTCGTTTGATGTCAAACGACTCGGAGAGGTTCTTCCCGATTCTAACGAAGCTGTCTATGCTCTTCAACGTCATTTGTATAAGTTTTGATGGTATACCAATTTCAGAACAGCGCTTCTAGTCGTAGTGTCGAAAGAGAATTTAAAGTCGGCTAAAATGTGATGTGGATCGATTTGTTTTTCTTGAGTCTTCTCTAAGATTGGACGCACTTTGAATGGATTTGCCAGGTCCGAAGCCAAACTGATAATATTCAATCAGTTGGTTGACGATTGTCTTCAATCTATTACATAGTATACTTAACACAACCTTATATGCAATATTCAAAAGACTGATTCCACCATAATTTGTAAGATCATCTTTTTTAAGAATGGAGCAAAGCACACTATGACATCCTAAAGAAAGTCTAAATCAAAAATTGTTAACTGTATTATTTGTAAGATTATTTTTACCCAATAAATTTTTGAATACGTATCCCTTTGAATGATTATAAAACATACTGGTTTTAAATGAAGTGTTAAATATTAATTTTTTCATGAGGTAGATGTTTTTATATTATATAATTAAACTACCGTATCAACAATGACTACACAATACTATATATAATTACGTTTACGTTTTGATTTTATACGCAAAGTGATACAACTGCGTACACTATAACAGTTTTCTCATTAATTATTCATATATAATTTTTTTATTTGAACAGAAAGTCAATTTAATGTAAATAATAATAATTAATATTTATACACTTTTTCAGCAGAAATATTGTATAAAGAGATTTAGAAGTACCCTCAAGTCGCACAATTATCGGTGCGATGTATTGAAGACAGTATTAGTTAAGCATTTCGGAAATTCACACGACAACTAAAAACTCGGTACAGAGAAAGATATTTTTTTTAGTTAAATAAAACGTATAAAAATAAATAAAAGTGTTTGTGATTTAATTTAAAATTAAGAATTTGGTATAAAATTGCAAATTAAAAATTGCGTTGACCTGGACAAGTGCTAATGGAGCTGTCACAAATTTTTTCCGCTTCAAAATTTGGTTAAATGAAATTTAAAACTTAAAAAAATCAAAATTTTTTAAAAAAACAAAAGATTAGTTATTATAATATTACATACATAACAAAAAAATACTAAAAAGAAAATCCCTAGTTTACTTTAAATGAAAATTGATTTGATTTTAATACATTATTGCCATGAACTCCTGTAATACATAATGCAGCTTTATATACAGGGTTATCCATTTTGTGATTCGAAATGTAAACATCAACAACATTGATTGTAAATTTGATCAAATTTTTATTTTAATAATTTCTTTGATCATTCAAATGTACTTCATAGGGCATGTTACAGTACTGGATCCTTTTAGATAGGTTTCGATGACTTGTCAGCACA